AATCGGAATTATTCCTCATTCAAAGCAAAACGTCTTTGCATCTGAGAGGAGAAGATTGTTTGCACTCGGTCTGGCGAACCGATGAGTGACCCAACTTACTCTGAACTTGTGAAGCCTCTTGAACTCAGACAGGCTGCCAGACAAACAGACATAATCCCCTGTGTGCGGTAAGTGTTTCTCACAGCTTCTGGCATTGCCAAGTGGCTTCCTCCTATGGCATTCTGGAACCAAGCCGCTGTGGAAACACTGATGCAAATTTGTAGCCAGAGAACAGCTGGATCCACCAACAAACACACGCAGACATAAACACTATTTAATATCCCTTTTCACCTCTTTCTTCATTTCAATCCGTTGGGTTTCAAGTCATTAACATCCTAAAGTGTTTTTCTTGGGAGAAGAACTGAGAGACTAGAGGGCGTCCGTAAGCCTGGTGTGGGTTGGGACAGTTAAAGGAAGGACAACATGTGGTTGTGAAATAATCTGCAGTTCCAAAATGTTGCCTAATCCAACCGGGGTGGATAGACACAGTTACATCACTTGGAACACGATCGTATTCTTCACTAATCGTTTCCACACTACGCCGAGCCAAAGGCACCTAACACAGGTGGACCTACTCGTGTTCAACCAGTGTTTCTGAATTAGGATAACACTTTTAGAATGGAATTCTTTAAATGCACGCGCTCACTGGTTCTTCTTGAATGTGAGACATGCATTGGTAAGATTTATCCATTTGCCAGCTGTGGATATTTGCCAAATGAAAGCACAAACTGATACAAAGAGAAGGAAAGTCAAAATTTAAAAAAAGGTATATAAAAGCCTGTCCAGGAATGCTCCGTGTATCGGCCTGTCTGTCTGTCTGTCTGTCTGCCATCGTGTCTGTGCATCCGCCAGCTGCAGGGCTTTAATTAAGAGGCCCAGGTTACGTGCACACACATACACACAGGATACAAGCGTCCCACATATCTCTAACACAGTGGCTCACAGTTCCGCTGACTAACCAGTGGCACCAGACTTTGGCCTGCGGCTCCCAGATTCCAGTAAACGTCTTGTTATGCAACTCCTAACAAGTGTCACCCAGTCTGAACTTAAAGCGTTGTGGGTCTCTGCCGTCTCCCTCTCTTACTTCTCTCCTTCTCTTCTCTCTGAAGTCCAAGCGGCTTGCTTCTTCAGGATTTGACCAATTGGGGTGTGCAGGAGGAGGGGGGGGGGGCAGTAACCCTTCACAATATTAAGTGTGCCCTGCTTTTGTGCAGAGGCTCGGCGGAGCAGGCAGGAAATGGGGAGGAGGGTGAGGAGAGGTGCTCCAGCTCTTTGCCTGAGAAACACAGCTGCCCCTCATGTCTTGGGGCAATGCCAAGGTTGGACTCCTCGACTGCCTCAGGGGGGGTGAGAGGTGTGTGTAAGTGTGCGTTGAACCAGTAGAAACAGGAGCGCTGCTGTTCTATCCAGCTCTCTGTCCTGCTAGTACACTTTTGGACCCAGAGCAACACGCAGTCTGTGGCGGGTGATAAAGTACAACCGGCTCTGTGCTTTCTCCCATTTCTTGAGCATTTGGGCATGAGCTGTCAGGAGGTCGAAATGAAAGCCAATGAAACTAAACATAGTGATAAAATGATCAATGAATTTGATTCAGTTAGATTAAACGTGTTGACCTTCAATGATGATGTTTGCAGTAAGTCGTGGCTCTCTAATATCTACAGTAAGACAACAAAAACCGTTGTTTACATTGCAGGTGATGATCAACAGCGGATAAAGAAACCAAATCCAACCTCTCCTGAATATTAATAACCAGTAGCCTCACTGGGATCCATGCATTGTAAAGTCAAATCGCCCCCCCCCCCTCGGCGATGCCAGTGTTTACCTTTAGACCAAGTGGCTCTGGAGTCGATGGGGGCATTTTGGTGGTAATGACCCCGGTGTCACCCGTACGCTCTGCTCGTACCTGCGTGTTTGTCCGCGCCGGCGCAGTTCCTTTGCAGATCCGTGGGAGTGTTTACCAGCGTAGGTTGAGGAATTTCGGGTCAAGAGAGCGCCGGGTACAGAGAAAACCTATGACCGAATTGATCTCGATATTGACTTCAAAGAGCATCCAAGTCACGCAGCTCCACTGGCGCAAGCCAAATATTTACCCTGTGGTGATGTGTACACGGCGGCAAAATACAAGAAAATGACTGACTGATCAACACACATTTCATGGAGTGAAATTAGAATAAAAAAATGTGAACGAGGCTTTATTAAAAACGAATATGTCGCTCTGCAGAGAGGTTTGGTGATGCATCGCTTGTGCCATCTGTTCTTCTTCCTGTTGGATGGCATCATGAGCCCGGCCCGGTGTCCAGTCCACTTACGCAGCCTCTCCGAGCTGGTCCCACCTGGCACAACTGTCCCCAGAACTCACACTCTCGCAGACGGCCCGAGGAGTGCGGAGGCTGCCATGACTCAGCTCAGACACGACCGACCGACTGCGGAGGATCAGCAGCGTGGAGAAACAAGCTCGGCCCTCGAACAATTGCAGAGCAGACAGCCTTAATCACAGATTAATGAAGAACTTCAGCCTGTTCCCTTTGCGAGAGCCCCATCTGCTCAGAGAGATCGCTCACACAGACAGGCGGACCGTGAATGATTTTCAAATCGACGTTTGCGGGTGTTTTTGGGGGGCGGAGTGAGACCAAGCGGTTGGGTTGTGTCGGCGGGATCATCGTCCTGCAGCACCAAAGAAGCCACCAGAAACTTCCCTTTACACTCAATATTTCCACTAACAACAAAACATGTGTGGTTCTCATTCGACTTCTTTTACTCCCTCAGGGAGGTTCACAGGGTTGACATCAACGCTTGTACGATCATTGTTTTGAGTGCTTTTGTTTTGATATTTACACTTTGTAAAAGCATCTGTCTTGTGAACATATTTCCATGTTTGAGTCACCGCGCTTCAGTCGGCTATTTGCGGTCAAATGATTAATGAATCTAACTGTTTGGGATTTCATACTAACACCCGCGGGCCTTTGGAGAGGAAACAACACACAAAAAAATATTTAAAAACACAGGAGAGGCCACAAAAGTACCATTTGATATTGTCACCTTCCCCAGCTCCTCTCAGGCCGCGGCTCATAAGTAAACTCGCTCTGAAAGGACAATGTGTGATAGCCCCCGCCCCCCCGTGTGGAGCCGAGGGGAGCGCCCTGAATAACTCCCCTCGCAGCGGTGAATGGCACTTTGCTTTCCCACAGCATTACTCAGTCTACACCCCCAAGCGGTGAGCCCGGGCCGCGCCCCCCCCCGTCCCGCGAGCCGCCATTCGCACAATAACTGTTAAATGGAGCGAGCAGCAGCTCTGAGAGACTTCTGTTTATTTAGGTACAATAATGAGTCTTTCTCACCGTAACTCTGCTGCATGCTTTGCAAAATGTAAATGATCTACTGTTGGTTGTAATGATGCTGGACTCCCGTGTAACAACAGCTACTAACGACTAGACGATTTATTCAGAATCCATGTTCCAGCTCCTGCAAACTCAGTGATAAAGTATCCACTGGTCCTGCGTGGATGTTTTCCACACACGACTGAACCGCTCTTTATTTTGGATTAAGTTTGTCTTTGCCCTTTTCAAGCAAAACGGTGAGCGGGTTTCGGCAAGTGACACGGTATTGGTGAAAGGGGACAAAAAGGGGACACACAAACACAGTAGGACAGATGCTGCACTTTTCAAAGTGCCAATGTGATGAATAGGTGCAGGTAAATGTTGCTTTTTCTCCTTGCACAATATCATTTTCAAAGTACTTGCTTTACATGCTTGTGCATGTTGCACGGCACTGAAGAGGGGTTTTTTTTCCCACTCCCGTATAATTTGATTGACTGGGTTAGGGATTTGACAGCCCAACACGAGTTTTGTAGATTTTTAAACACTGTGGTAAAAATAATTATTGAATATGTAACAAAGCGTTGCTTTTTTTTGTTACATACAAAATCAGTATATGGCAAAATAAGTAAGTAGTGACTGAATGTTTTTATTGTGGTTCAATCGACGTTATAATGATGAGCACGTGACTCAAACAACATGGGAGCCTGCCGTGCCAAACCAGACAATCAGTGGGAGGCGCCTGTCACATCACAAACTTGAAGTCCTCTCTTGTGTAATGTTTTGGACGACTTCCAGGACAATCCTTCTGGCATTCCCCCTACGACATCAACGTCCAAACACAGCGTCACTCAAGGCACGCACTCGAATATGGGTATAAAATAAATAAATAAAAGCACTGTTTTGATTTTGCCTTAAAATGTACCACGAGTTTTAAAATATCAGCAGAGCGAGGAGAGCTGTCTCAGACACGCCAGGCTACAAATCAACAGCACTTCTGAAAAGCACGTTGAGGGACAATAAGACAGAGAGACAGAGCGAAAAAAAAACCCCTGTGTGTCAGCAGACTCATATAAAGCACATATCTGCAGGAAAGAAGTCAGATGACTGTCGAAGGTCATGGTAGCAAATTGGACAGTTTACTGAATTGCCATGAACTGGATGGATCACAATGGGGGGGTGTGGGGGGGGGCTAAGGTTTTCACAAGACTGGGAGCAAATTCTAAACAACTAAAATATTGATGCACGCACTTTTGTCAATGGAGAAAATGTCTTGTGTGTGTGTGGAACGTGTGTGTGTGTGTGTGGGGGGGGGGGGGGGGGGGGGGCATCGTGTCCGTGACAGCCATAGATGATGGAGATAAACAATAAATAAATTGGATCAAAGTCAACATACTATTAAACTCTGCAGGACAAGCAAGGACACTGCTGTGAGCACAGGGGACAGAAGACACAGAATAACGCTCGATCGGTCCCCGCGCGAACCGCAAAGCCACAAGTGGAAAACTTCAACGGGCTGCAGCCATTGAACTTCCACACACACACACACACGCGCGCGCGCGCACACACAAACACGCACACCCTGTTTGTCGTGGGTAGAAGAAGTTCACAAACGTTAACGAGAAAAAAAACAAAAAACAAACGTACCTTCCAGCCCGCCGAGCTGTTGCTGTCACCTTTGTCCTTGAAATACGGCACGCTCTTCACCATCCAGTCGTAGATCTGAGACAGCGTGAGTCGGTTCTCGGGAGAGCTCTCGATCGCTTTGGTTATGAGGTCTGCATATGACATATTCCCCCACGCGTTCCGCCGGGAGGAGCTGCTCTTCCGCTGGGCAGCGGCGGCCGCTGCGGCCGCGGCCGTCGGGGAGGACGATCCCGCCGGGGAGGAGAGCAGAGACACCTGCTGCTGCTGATGATGCGGGAGTTGCGCGTTTGGGTTTTGCTGCTGCTGCTGCTGAGGGTGATGGTGGTGATGCTGCTGCTGCTGCTGCTGCTGCTGGAGTTGCTGCTGCTGCTGCGGAGGTCGCCGGTGGACGCAGTCCTCCCGACACTGGAAGTCGGCGCACAGGATCGCGGGCTTTTGCTCCGCGAAGTCCTCGCTCTCCTCCAGCAGGCTCAGGTTGTTGATGAAGTCGTTGCCGGCGGGCTCCTGCTTCACGGAGGGCACCGGCGAGGACGTGTTGGAGTCGCCCGGGTTGACGAACTCCGGTCGGGGCAAAGGCCAAGTGCACGACCGGGGCCGCGACAGGGGCTCGAAATCCGGGTCAATTTCCACCAGGTGTGGCTGCTGGGCCGCTTCCGCCATTGGTCGAGAGGTGACGGAGCCGAGTGTTAAAATGTCATGTAAAGTGTGACGAACCTGTCGCGCCGCTCAGAAAGTCCTAAACTTCGGCCTGTGAAATGTGCGAAACGAAGTCTGGAGGAAGTGCTGCGTGCTCCGCGCGGGCGCAAAGTCTGGGCTGAAAGTCACATTCACATCCCAAGCCGGTAAGAAAGCGACAACAAAAACGGTTTATAAGAATAACAACAACAAAAAAGTATACTTTAAAAAAAAAAGATCCTTTTCCCGCGGAGAGCAAACGTTGTGTGTGTGTGTCCAAAGTGTGTTGGTCCGCTGCTTTGTTTTTGTTGTGCCGTAGTAGCGGTGGTGCGCGCGCGCTGCTGCCCGTTGACTCTCTGTGTCGTTCAGCATGTGAGGATTTACTGGAAGTATCGTTTGTCAGCCGTGACCCCGCCCACAGTTTGATCGACAGCGGAAGGCCGCCAATGAGAGGCCTCGAACGCGTTGCGTAAAACAGAATCGTCCTTGTTTTCATTCTTTCGTCTAGTCAACATCTAATCTGGGCACCAAAAAAGAATTTAAAAAAAAAGTTTACCCCCCCCCCCATCCCAAATCCCAAACCCTATTTACCCAGAGAGTGATTATATTCGTGCAACCAACATTCCTCAGTAACAAGTGGTGTTAAAAAGAAGTGTTTAAAGAACCTATAATCAAATATCAAAGAGGGATATTGCACATATACGATAGGCTGCTTATCACAGCATACTGAAAACACTCATACCAACTCTGTCCAGCCTACTAGAAACACAGAAATGTGTTTTAAAAAGTTATAAAAAATACTTTGATAGAGATACACAAGAGAAGAGTGACACCCCCTTCGTAAAATAAGGATTCAACCAAACAGTTTCAGTCTTTCGGATGGTGTAATGCTCCTCGGTGGTTTGTTGGACTAGAAGCTGTTTGGATGCACTGCGCCCACTGTGGACTCTATCGACATCTCGTGGCAATTATGAGGTATACCAATCAGACGCTGCGGGTATATAAATCTCTTCTGCTTTTAGTTTGTCAGCCTGACAAAAATTCAGCGAAAGACACGTTTGCTCTTTTTGATCCCCTTTTTTGTTCCATTGATCCATTGACTTAAAGTACTTTCAGTGATCGAATGAAATATTAAATTGTTGCTCCGTATGGCTGAATGTACTTAGTCATTACCACATGTCCCACAATCTGCAACATCTATTTGCACCATCAGGAGATGCACTAAACAACATGGCCTCAGAGTGTATGGAACAAGTCTAATACGGGAAAATCACAATTTAGATGAACGCTATTAACATTGGCATTATACGATGACTTAACTGTTAACTGCTGACCTGTCAGAAATTAAGCTACCCTTAACAAACACAACTCACCCCAAGGGGACATGTCAGAATTTTAATGCAAACCTGTGACCTCTAAACTTAAATAGAGTCCCTAAGTATTTTAACATTATAGCTGATGTATTTTTTTACTCTGAAACGATCAGAACGCAACAGCGGCTGTCTAAGTGTGACGCAGAGAGCGGATCCTTTGCTTGTTGCCCCAAGCCGGGGGCCCGTCATATCTGTGGGGAACGACCTGTGCTTGGCGCTCACTTGTCCCACAGGGTTCAGCGCTCTCTGCTCGGGCCTGACTCCGCACCTCCCCTGCCAACGGAGCCCTCTCCCCGGCCTGTGAGATGCGTCGCAAGCTCATGATAGAGAAAGCCGGTTACTGAGGTGCAGCATCTTGGCACTTGAAGAAATTAGATGAATCTTCTCTGCTGGCCGCTGTGATTTGAAATGAATTCTTAATCTAAACATCACCTCAAACTCAAAGCGTAACACATTACCGGTGCATATACTTCCTTGTGGTAAAAGATGTCTTGTTTTTTCCGGGTCCCAAATCAGTTACCATTTCAAAAAGGTCTTTGAAATCAAAGCAAGAAGTCTGAGAGTGGAATACCAAAAGACGCCTCAACCTGTCCTCTGAGCAAATTCAAGCAGTTCAGCTTCTCTCCTCCGATGCAACAACAATGATATAGATGTATTTAACCTCACCATATTCAACCTGTGGTAAAGTCGTGGAAACCTTTAATATTTTACAAACTCTTGAACACAAATTAGATAAAGCCTACAACTTCTGATAGTTATCAGAGCATGTTTGGACTGAAAACATCACCAACTGTCTTTTTTCAGTTTTGTTTTTGTTTTTTGTTTGCTGAAGTAAATTTGTTTCTGTCTGCGTCACCACACGAGGGCCGTGTTCACCTCAACACACATTCTTAAAAAAAATAGACTGCAACTGTAAATTATGCCATTGGAGCGTCTGCAATCTGTAATAAACACATTATAACAAAACTGAGGATAAGTACATTTATCCAGTTCATCCTAAAAATGCAAACTGCTAGGAATTATCTTCCGTGGTGTAATAACCATCTCCAAAACCATCAAAATAAAATTTACAAAAGTACAAAATAAGCCTGTTGTGTGTAAGTGTTGTAAACAAATACCCCCGGATTCACCTTTAACTTGTCATGTAATGTGACCTGGCTGTCATGTGACCACGTATCACGTGACAATCAATAAAAGGGACCCTGAGTGAATAGCGATGGCAACCGGGCGGCTCCCATGTCGGTTGTTAGGGCTCCAAAGCTCAAAACACACCCTGTGCCGTGCAGCTTCTCATCACAGAAAGGGACTTGGCTCCCGGGTACTTTTTGTGCCTGCACCAGCTCTCATGTTTCACCATTTGGATGCCAGTTATTGTTTATTCATCACTTGCACGCAACAGGTGTCAGTACCTTTCCTGGAAGTGAATGTAAGATTACAATGGAGGTCAGAGCTGAATTTTAAGGCATTAAATACAGAGTCCACACAGCCTCCGAGGATCATGTTGCCTGTTGGGACACCAAGTGGGAGTTCATGTGTATGTGTGTCAGGCGCTGAGGGGAAGGAGTTACGGGGAGAAAGGACAAACCATTGCAGCACTGCTTCACTCGCTCCATCACACCAAACAAAGTACTTGTTCACTAATGAACTCGAACACGGCGAGCACGGCTGAGATGGTTAAACAGAGTAAAGTTGAGATCAACGGCGAGGAGAACATCGAAGGTAAATGCTTTTTATGATCTTTTAAAGAATTTGAGTCTCGCACTTTGCCTGTGAGAACACAAAGCGAGAGGATTGTAAGAGTTATTTAGGGTGAACATGTCACGTGCAATAGGTGTTGTTTGTCTGCGGTGTTTAAGACAAATAAAGAATCCTTGTTAATTGTTGACAAGTAATTCCAGTTTTCAATAATTCAGTAGCTTACGTTGTGACTCAGGGGGATGTGGAGTGAACATGACTTTAGATTAATTACACCATTAGAGACCGATTTGAAGTATGGAACCGACTTCCTCACACTGCGCAATTGTGTGAATGCTTTGGGTCATATTTGATAAAGGAAACGTCCCATTTTATCCCTTCGCTGTTAAATTGAGTCAACAAAGCGACCACAGCGTGTTATGGTCACAAGTGAGGACATGGCATGACAAATTAGCCAAATTGCAAACCTCTGTGTTTTCGAGTTGAAGCTTGTGAAGTGTATTTCATTCTCTGCAGATAAAAATGCAGGGAGACTGGGATGTTTCGGTTGGCTGTTGGTCCTTATATCCTTCCTCTTTGTAACAGCGACCTTCCCCATCACATTATTTATGTGTGTTAAGGTAGAGTATATTCTCATCAATGTACACAACTGATTCCATCGATGTTAGGCCAGTAATTGTCTGTAAAGGCCAATACAGATACCTACGGATATTATTTTTATAATCCTTTTAGAAATCCCTCATGGAGAGAAATGACTAGCAAGCTCCAACAGTTTAACTGTTACAAGAAGTGCCTGAGCTTTTGGTGCATAGCATATTTGGGATAAAGAAATGGAGTTCCTTGGTTCATAAAAGTGGCCGCCCATGGCAGGTGAGATACAGAACTGAGATAGTTTAGTCTGCTCCTCTCTGCCATCCTGCAAAACTCTTCTGTGACTATGCCTCTGTTTTGTACAAGTGAATGTCTTTACCCTCAAAATGTGGAGACTGGTTAAGATTACCCTGATGGTATGTTTGTGTGTGTGGAAAACTAAGTCTCCCCAATGTGAGCTCTGCATACATCGGTTTCAGGTTATCAGCCAAACAAGAGAAGGGAATGTGATATGCTGTGAAGCTGTTATACACAGTGGGCTTGGATAAACCCACATTATGACCTTGAGTTTAGTCTAACTCACTCTGAGGCTAATTTACTTTTGGTCCATGTTTCTAACATCCAGATAGTGAAGGAGTACGAGCGGGCCGTCATTTTTAGACTTGGCCGGATCACGGACCGGAAACCTAAAGGGCCAGGTTTGTTTATTGATTCATTCATTAAATGTGACATACTGCACGATACTTCTCTTTACAGCTTTTTGAATGTCATATAATATATGAATGTATGTCCTGTTACTTTATTTTATAAAAGAACGTATTATGATGGAGTACTGTAAAATGTTATTTCCTTATGGCATTACATTTGATGCTTTATTTGTCATACTTGTCATGTCTTTTCCAGCCCCTTAGGTTATTTATTTTGTGTCTTTTCATCCATCTTCCTCTACTTTCCTGTTTTTTCTTGTTTCTGGCTTTGGTCTTTGGTGGTTTTGCATTATCCTTGCCGCCTTTATTTGTCTGATTAGCTGACAGATCCTTTGCGTACCAAACCGGTTTTGGCAGGTAATGATATCCTAACTGCACCTTGTCATGCTCTCCGAGGGATTTTTCAGTCCATTTACACATATGGGGTTTACAGTTGTTACAATAACATACTACTAATGACAATAAAAAGCATGCTTTCATTTGATTTTTCATTTGAATGCTATTCAATGATTTTTCAAGTGAATATTATTTACATATATTATATTTTCATTCCATTTTCAAAGTGTACCATACCTTTTTATGGCATGTTGGAATATGATGTTATTTACATTTTTTTATTATACAATCCATTTCTCTGCATATGTGGTATGCAAATATCATGTTTGACTTTGACTTTTAAATTTGTTTTTAATGCTGACTTTTTCTGTCACAAATTGATTAAATACTAAACAATGGTATGGCATACAATTAATTATTTAGAAATACTTTCAATTTATTTTCAGGACTTATGTTTGTTCTGCCCTGTACTGATACCTTTGTGAAAGTCGATCTGAGAACAGTGTCCTTTGACATCCCTCCACAAGAGGTACAATTTTTGTTTTTGAAAATTTAAAAATATTGTCTACGAACTCTCTCAATGCCATCTTTGGTTTAAGTGATTAAAGTCACAGCAAAATGCTGTTCTTATAACTTGCAGATCCTAACGAGAGATTCGGTGACGGTGTCGGTGGACGGTGTGGTGTACTTTCGCATAAACTGCCCCATCTCATCCGTGGCCAATGTGTCCAACGCACACTCATCTACACGGCTGCTGGCTCAAACCACCCTGAGGAATGCACTGGGGACCAAAAACCTTGCAGAACTGCTGTCCGACAGAGAGGGTATATCACTCAGTATGCAGGTGAGCAGAAACGGTGGCAATATAGTTTATGAGCAGCTGCAGGGCATAAGAGAAGTGTGAATGTTTAATTGACCCTTTTTTATCTACTGTCCTTAATTCTGCCTGTTGCTAAAAAGTTAATGGTCGCACTAAGATTGAACCAGAGAAGTCATGTACCACCAAAACCCCTAAACTTTAATTCATGAAGGCCAAAGTGCAACATACACCTCAGGAGTTGAAGAGCGCATTTTGTAGTTATTTGAATGAAGCATAACAAGGAGGGTTTTATATGACTGGAGTATTTGGGATTTGATATTCTCCCAGGAGTCTCTGGATGAGGCTACAGATCGGTGGGGTATTAAGGTGGAACGTGTGGAGATCAAGGACGTGAAGTTGCCTCACCAGCTGCAGAGAGCCATGGCGGCAGAGGCAGAGGCTAGTCGGGAAGCCAGAGCGAAGGTAAAGAGGGCATTGGGACTATTTCCTCTCAATGCAGTGAGGACTATTGGAAATAACGGTTCTCTGTCTGTGCTGCAGATCATTGCTGCAGAAGGAGAGATGAACGCTTCCAGGGCTCTGAAAGAAGCCTCCCTGATTATTGCAGAGTCACCCTCTGCCCTTCAGCTGCGATACCTGCAGACCCTCAGCAGCATTGCAGTAGAGAAGAACTCTACCATCATCTTTCCTTTGCCCATAGATATAATGCAGAATTTTATGAAGAGGCAATGATTATATTATTGTGCCTTGCGTGTACACTGTATAAGATTGGCATAGTATTCAATAGAATAATGATCACTTAAAGAAATATCCACAACAAAACACACATTGGTACAATTATTTTCCTCATTGTGATTTAATACTTAAATACAAAGTGGGACATATACACTAGATATTCCCCAAAGTCTCATCACTGATCACAATACTCTAACCAGTTAAGCTGCAGTTGCGGTTGCGGTTTCGGAGAAGGCCAAATAAATAATTATATATAAGAAATACACATGGAAATTAAAACGGAGAACAATGCACGACAACCTTATGCAGACATGCTTTCATTAAACCCCATCCAGAGAATAACTTCTGAAATACAATCTTTACAGAACAGAAGTCCTGTAAACGGTCAACAGGAGAGCAAACGTCCACAGGAAACATTGGATGCAAACTGTAAACAAATCCCTATTATTCCAGTGCCAAACAAACATTCAGTAAATGAGTACAGGGTCATGTCCACAGGACACAGAGGCAATCAATGCACCCGGGGTACCTGATGGAGAGAAATATAATTTCCGCCCACAGCCGGGCCCACCAAGTCAAACATAATCTACTTAATGTCCCAACAGTACATGCAAATTAACTACAACCAAGTCCTTGTCTGAGCAGATTTCCAGATTTTATGGATCTGGGGTAATATGTCACAATGAGGCAAAATTTCTTTAAAGTATTTGTGTAAATCTGGTGATGCTCTATGTTCTTTAAAATATGTATGCACATTCTGTACATACATGTCATGTTTTGCAAAGAATACATTGCAAAATAGACACATGAAAAAAGAATTATATGGCAGTTACTTTCCCTTTGTTACTTTCTTCTTGAGACCTGAGATTATTCTCTACAATGAGAAATTAGAGAAATTATCTTTGAAATTTTCAGGATATAATTCTTGATTGTTGCTCTTAATAGAAATTGCTCTTCATTCTCAAATGGAAAATAACGACGCCCATAATAGATTCTTCCGTTATATTTGCTCATAAGAGCTTCTCTTGTGAATTTCAGAACACATTGAAAAAAAACAGGAACAAATTGATTGAGAGTACACTTAAATAAAGATCTAATGCAACGTAGTGAGGAACTGTTGGATTTGCATGTGTACAGTTCATTTGGACTGCAGTGTCTGCACCATTAATGGACGATTTCTACGTTGCTTAACTGCAGAAATTTGACAGCTTCAGCAAACGATGAAATGCTGCATTTGATGTTTTTCTTTTTGGTGGTGTTTCCACATCCAGCACAAAATAATTGAATTTCTTTAACTCGACTAAAGGGGAGAGGCACCATCTTACATAAAAAACATGGGAGTCAGCAATGTTTAATACTATACTTCAATAATGAATAATTTCCTGGCATCTATTGAATAAATCCTGGTTTCTCCCTCGATGTAAGGTAATCTTACGAGTAAATTCATTACCGGAAGACAGATCATGCTTTAAAGAGACATAAATTTACAGTTTTTACAAAATCATTAATACTTAACTATCATTAATGGTTATGCTGTGTAGGCAGTTGGATTTATGAGTTATTTTGTTTCAACGGAACATTTGATGTCAACAACCAGCTGTTTCAGGCAAACGCAGCATGGATGATTTAGGTTATATGGTTAGTCCTTCAAACACATCTGATGAAATCCTTCAGCAGAGGACGTACACCAGAGAAGAATCCCCACTTTGAGTGTAACTCGCTTTAAGTAGTTCAGTCATTTTAGTTCAGCTTTTTGCCTGCGCCTTGACAGACGTTGCTGGTGAGAGAAAATGGACGGCAAAGGCGCTTGTTGTTGTTTCTGTTGCGCTCTCTCATCCTGAGCGCTGCATGAGGAAGGGGTGTAAATGTGGAAAAAAAGGAATGGAAATGAGGCACCGTGACTCTGATCCTGCTCTCTGAAGTCTCCAACGAGCAGGCCTTTCATCCACTCCAGTACTTTGTTTTTTGCGAGGGGCTCCGGTGGGACAGGGAAAGTACGGAGGGAGAGAAAAATCCCATATGAACACATGAGGCGTAATTATTAATACAATTCCTTAGGTCAGAAGGGGTCGACATTGAAAAAGCCTGGCATCAGTGAGCGGCATATGACAAGAAATGTTTCTGTCCATCTACGTGGTGTTAAATCTTAGTAACATTCAGCTTTAAAAAAAAAAAAAGATCAGAGCTTTGGATGCTAGATAAAAGAAAGCCTTTGATACAAGAGCTTCCATGGAGAGTTTCATTGATGGTAGGAGTGTGGGCGGGCCGGAGAGCCCGGTCCAGAGAGCGGCCGGTGGATGGGCGAGGCGCTGGGGGACATACGAGGACTCAGCTCGCCCGTCTGAAGGCGCCACAGCAGCTCCTCGTTGTTGCGACTCAGCCGCTTCTTCTCGTTGCTTTCCTTTTCCACGTGGACTTGCAGGCTGGCGTTATCTTCTGAGAGTTGCCTTAGAACGAAGGGGAACAGAGGAAAGTCAGAACATAAATGCCCTGTGTTAGCGTTGCAACGACCCTGCTTTAGTTAAAAAAAAATTTAAAAAATCGGACCTGGATATAGCAAGGTTCTTGTCTATTCTCTCCTGCAGGTCCTCGTTCTGCTGCTGCAGCACCTGTACTCTCTCCTCCAGGTACACATTCTTTTCAGCCTGCTCAAAAACACAGGAGGAAGGTGCTCAACATTAAATTCTTCAAATGATGAGGATTAGCTTACACAAGATATAAAGTGTTATTGGAACTTGAAGGTAAATTTAAAGAAAAGCAGAAATTTGAAGCCTACTATTTTCTCCAATTCTGAGATCTTCAGCTCCTGTTGGTGAATTTGTTGATTCTTCATCTCCAGAACGTCTTTCAGACTTTTTAGGTCCTCGTCAATGTGTTTGTATGGTGCCAAGGCATCCTGGCAAAAAGAGGTAACCAGTAAAAAACACCAGTCTTATACACCAAAACACAAAATCAACAGGTTCAATCAGGCTACTGTCACCAAAGAACTGAACATAATGGTTCTGTATTGTATCGTGCAGCAGTTACCACAATTTGCTCATCTGTGCTCTTGCGCAGAGCTTCTTCAAAGCGCTTGGCTCGATCTCTGAGGCTACAATTCTGAAACGTCAGCGTGTCCACCTGATCCTGGGGACCAGACCGATATCAACTTGTTAATAACTAATCTCTGAAAACAAGATGTATCACTCCATGGATCTGTAGGAACGGTTTACCTGCAGTGACAGTCTGATCTTCTCAAACTCTTCTCCCAGAGACCTGGTCTGCTGCTCATGGGCCATCTTGAGATCTGACACGAGACACAACACACCATTATCTCATCGCAACAGGAGAGCAACAGGTTTTAAAAACGAGGCGCTCACTCTTCACGGTCCTGGCGTGCTCGTCCTGTAGAGTGGCCAGAGTGTTATCGTGAGCCGTCTCCATCTCCATCAAGGAAGTCTCATGGTTCTCACTCATCTCCTCAATCTGGAGAAGATAAGCAAGCAATGATCTTCTTTTTCCTCGAATTTAACAGAGAACTCCGATATTTACGTCTAATGTCAAAATTGGACTGAACAGACGTGCTTGGATCCAGCGTTCATCTAAAAGACGCACACCTGCTCTTGCTGTTGGACCCGAAGCTCCTCCAGCTCGTCTCGTTGCTGGGCCTGGAGGCTCTTGGCCTCGGCCGCGTGCTTCGCCTTCAGCCGCTCCTCCAGCCTTCCCAGCTCCCTCTGCTGCTGAGCCCGCAGTCCCTGCAGCTCGGCCTCGAAACGACGCTCCAGTGCCTCCTTCTCCTGCTGCAGTTGCTCCCAGTGTGCAACGCTGAAAGCTGGAACACAACCTGGAGCTTTAGCTTCTTCCACCAGAGCCAGATCGGTTGTTTCAAATCAAAGTAAAGCATTGGGTGAAGGGCGTTCAATCTGGCTAAACGCAGGCTCCCATAAGCCTGGTGGTAGTATAGTACACTGTAGATCACATTATATGTGGTAAGCAGAGAGTCCCCGTGGTGCTGTGTCTATCGTGCCCGAATCCCACTTACCCACTTCATCCCTGATTCTGGCGAGCTCCAGGGACAGTTCCCTCTCCTTCACGATGGCACTCTCGCTCTGAAATGCAATCACAATGAACAGCAATGAACACCTCTAAACTGAACAGCCTCACTGCCCACCCAGTTACAAGGTCATTAGGTCATCATGCTAAAAGTAATGCAGTTCAATACAACAGCCCTCTAAAGAATCCATAGTGTTATTTTTAGTTGAAACTAGGTTAACGAAAGCAAAAATACTTGATACACAATATGGTAGCATGCAGGTACATTAAAGGGCTATACACCAAAAGTTGTTTTTATTTATAGGTCCCTCTTTACCAAAATGATTGTTCCATCACACCTTGTTTTTATAAGATCTTAAATGTGCAGTTCACAATAAGCTGGACCCATTTTGTATTTTTATAAAGATGCAAACCGAATGCTCTACTGAAAAAATCCACCTCCAGGATGCACTGACATCAGCTGGGGCAATGATTAATTGATAAACATGACATTAAAGCTCCATGTGATAACTTGGCAACCTATCCAGGGCTGAAATAGCAATAGTCTACCGCACCTTTGATAACAATAGATGATTAACAAATGTCAGAAGATCAGAAGGAAATTCAAGAGAAAAAAAATACAATTTGCATAATTTCTGCTCATTAACGATACAAACTACACATCACTTTTAATAAAGCAGCACAGTTTGGCTAAAATGTGTCAGTTAACCCTTGATCATCATTGCAAAGGTGTCCAACGATTAATTACTGTACTTCAAAAGTAGACTACGACATATTTGAAACCTGCAGATGCACAGACTGTAGCGACGGGGGATAAATAGCAGAGGGTTAAATATGTATGAGACGGGCATCCAGCATGTCTCGGCAACAATGATGTCACTCTCTAAAAGGCTTTTACTTGGAGTGTACAGTCATTAGGGAGGGACCACCGTGACATCATGAGGGAGGCAGGATGGTCAGTGGCCTTTTCTCATTTCTTACTGTTAAACTCCACTTTTGCTCCTACACACATGCCCCCTCCCCCTCCCCAGGGAGTTATGTGACGTGCATTTTAATTTTGCAATCTGACATTCAGCACTCACCGAGACAACTTAATCTGTTTAAGTCTGCATCCAATAACTGTTCCAAATTGATTACGCTGTCGTAATTCTTTCAACCATTCTTTGGTCTGTAACATAGAAACACATGCTTGTCACCATAACTGATTGGGCTGACTAGCTTACAACTCGAGTATATTCTGCTAACGATGATGTAAAACTGAAATGATCAAATGTTTGAGGGACTGAAACCAGCTAATGTTTGACATCTTCTCTTAATACAACAAAAATGATTAACAGAATATTCTTTTTTTCCTATCAATCATTTCAGAAATGTTCCTTTTTACTCCTGGAGAAAAATGAATATGTCTATTTACAGTACGGGTCCAGATTCTTAGTTAATTAACGTCTTAAAGTCTGCACTCATATAATGAATCCAGTTTCAGTGGCACCAATAAAACCTTCAATGTGCAGCTACTGTCCAGAACACTACAGATGCAACTACAGCGTGAATGTCATTTTATTTTTGGAATGTATGCTTTTTCTTGTAGAAATCCAGCAACATTGATTACAGAAGATATTAACACATTGCAGCAAAAGGTTATTCTACACAATCGATGGCACGTATTCACCAACACATCAGCAGACATACAGCGAAAAAACAAACGTACACTTTAGTAGTGTTAGGATGCAGCAGAGCAGCAGAAGCGTGTTATGTAATGTCCCTGAGAGCTCTGAGAGAAAAGAAATGGGGACGGACAAGCCCGCTTTGACTCAGCATAACCGTGCACAGCTTTCATTCTCCCTACCACCTCTTGTCTCTAGGAAAGGAGGATGTAAAGCCCCATATACGCACTCACCACCCATCTTTGACACGCACACATGCGCACAACCACACATCCAGCAGCAACTCTGGCTGCAAAACAGGCTGCAGGAGATACTGTCTTTACCGTTTGGTCCAGATAGCACACAGGGAGGAAATGGAGCCTACAGCAGCAGTGGCCCATACCAGGCTAGCGGACAGCAGCATCCCCGAGCCGACTGGAGATGCAGCAGTGACAGGAGTGCCGGAGAGATACAGAAAGAGAGGCAGAGGGGGGAGGGAACCAGGCAAAGGCAGAAGAGGGGAGGAGGGATGGGGAAGACCGGAGACTCACCTCGTTTCCTGGTTTACGGCCGGCGTTTATCCCTGCAGGAACAAAGACTGCCGGCCCCAACCCAGCCCAGCCCAGCCCAGCCTGCCCTCCCCTAACGCCCCCCACCAACACGCCCCGTAAAACATTCACACGCATGGCAGCGGACAATACACACACACACACACACACAATGTGCAGTCTTTTGCATCTTTGTGAAAAAAAACAAAAGGCTGCCGTGGTAGAAGATGGGGGAGGGATATAATCAATAAGTGGCAGATTATTTGCTCTGTAACTCAGAGAAAGTAGCTACACGCAGGCATTTACATCCATTTGATATAAATAATAATTAAAAAATAATTTCTTCTAGATAGCTCTTTCTGAAACAATAATGTCCAGACTGTTCAATATATTTATATTATTCTATATTTATAATTTCTATACATGATAAAGCATTTGAAATCTTGGGATATTTTTCAATCATTCTTATATAAACATTTAGCCTTCTAAAAATCATTAGCATATGTTATCAGATGTTATCACGTGTGTAAAAATGTAAAAATCCATGACAGAAACATGCACTGTATGACCAGTAGAAAACACACCATTGGTGCTTGGTAACAGGGTAGATGGAGGGGGTTCATGGTAAATATAACAATATCTATTCCAAAAATAGAAATTATTTCACTTAGAGGTAAAGTTGCTCGCGGGCTGTTAAATTCACCTGTAGTTTGCATCAGTAAATCACTACTATTTGTCATAATTTGGGATTACAAACTAAACAAACAATTTAAAATAATAAACATTTAAAGGAACACCTACAGAGAGGGGTCCAATCCCACCCTACCAGCGGTCAGACCTCAGTGGGGATACTCTGCCAGAGAGACAATCATTCTCAATACAAGCACAGCTGGGCCCAAGCAGGCGGCCTCATTTACCATCTCCCACTGTACAGTCGGAGTAGGTGGGTGGGGATGGGAAATGGATGAAACGCAAGCAGAGGATCAGTGATGTTTATCACCCAGCAAGCATGCCAATGTATACACTAGTTCCTTTTGTTCAAACTACAAAAAAAACATTGGAAATCTCCAGTATCTCCTCAAACTTTCTTCAATGACAAATGTTTAATCCTGCTGCTCCGAAGTAACATGTTCAAAAACCCCACAACAAAAGCATTTGAGAACAAAGTAATGCTGACAACAAAAGCCAGATGCTGCAGGTGTCAAATGTGCTAGTGAGCAGCATCTCGCTCTGTAGCTCCGCTCTGAAGCTCGCAACAGCTTTTCCTTTGTAGATTTTTAACAGCAGGCTGATGTTTTAGCCTGAAACAAGGCTGCAAAATGCACCGATCAACAGATGAACCACGATGCTAGCTTTTGATTTAGGAAAAACCTGCAACATCCATTACACCATTTTGTTTGCATGACACCTAAAGATATTCAAACACACTGCTGGTTTCAAACTTCTGGGATTTATTTCTGGTAACATTGCCTTGTAAATGCACTGCTCACGAATGCCGATTGTTACAGCTTACTTAAACCAACACAATTGAAGGGAGTAAATTGGATTGGTTTGTTGCTGTCCTGTTTTACAGTTAACGTTGAAAGAATTTAGAAAAAAAAGAACACTGTAGGGGGCTCTAATAGAGAAGGCAAAACCAAGTTACATGTCTGTCAACCGAGCTGAGGTGCCAGAACACAATGCTGCAGCCTACCTTTTGACAAAAGTGCTGGGTGGTGATGCTGAAAACGTCCAGGCAAAGGGAGGCCTTCTTCAACTGGGCCTGAAGGCTGCGCAGCTGCAGGTCCTGGTGCTCACAGCGTTCCCGCAGTTGCTGGATCAGAATCCGGTCCAACTCCTGGGCCTTGTCAGTCCGAACCGCTCCCTGAACCGCTGCAGTCCGCCCACGAACTATAGCAACAGAGAGCAGAATGATTAACCAGCTAAACTGGAATATTTTCAATCATAAACTTACTGCGGATGATGATCAACAGTAAGTTTCCTCCCTGAGTTCACACACAGATGAATGGCTGATTGGATGAACAAGCAAGACTCAAGTCTTCTCCCTCCTCGAGCCAATCAGCTGCAGTTTCCTCTCTCCCCTCCAGACACCCATTAGAAAACTCTATTTGCACATCATGTCTGCAGTAGTACTGGAACTCTACCCGACTGGGATCAAATTTGACAAATATGCTGACTTGTTTTGGGGATTTGACCTAGAAGGATGGCTAATAAAGGAGCAATCTAGCATTAGGCTCCAGCAGCTTGTTGCTATGACAACGGCAGGCTGCCATGGGTCTTGTAATAAAGTATGGAGAGGGCGGGGGAGAGAGACAGAGAGACAGAGAGAGAGAGAGAGAGAGAGAGAGAGAGAGAGAGAGAGAGACAGAGAGACAGAGAGAGAGAGAGAGAGAGAGAGAGACGCGGTTCGTTTTAAAGGGACAGTAGAAGTAGATGGCACTACATTTCCCTTTGTGCCATTAGACATCAAATAAAACATTCAATATTATACATACTGTATGTTTACTTACCATTTAAATGAACTCAGACACACACACACACATATGTAGCACTCACCGGGGGACTGCGGTTTAGGCGAAACCACTGCAAATCTTTTAGGTGAGGACACTGGTGGCACCGCAGCTTCTGTGTCCTTCTGTATCTCTCTCCTAGAGGCTGTAGAGATGGGTAGATAAATGTTACTATGTTTAATTAATAAAATACACAAGAAAAATAAAAGGTTTAGTTGCCTCTAATACATATTGTTTTCAGAATATATAACAAAATAGTGCAAATTCATGGTTTAATAGTGATGTAAAATTACTTTTGATAGAGTCAAACATCACTGAACTATTTTTAGTTAAGGTAAGTTACTTTGCTTACAAACAAAACATAAGAGTTAAGTACTGAAAATAAATTTGACACCTAAATAAGTAGATCAAACGAAGTCCACCTTAACCTCCTAATTCATTGCAATGTTAATGAACATTAATGCACCAGTTATGGTTATAATCAATTTGATATTGAAAGTGCAGTGTCACTGTGCAGCATTGTTGAAGTAGACATTGTAATCGAAAGCAGACACAGAGAGCAACACAATATGAACAATAATACAGCCAAAATAACCAGGTTTCAGCACTGCAAGACCATGCAGCGCCTTCAGTTAAATGAAGAACTCTTAATATCCGATCTAGCATTTACTCATATCCACGGAAGATGTAATATATCAATATTTTTGGGGCTTTTGCCGAAGCAGTCTGAACAAAATTAAGACTTATAGTTTCAAGGAATAACCAAGTCTGGAGGATACAAATGCATGGATTACAGTTTCAGCCTCACAAATTGATGGAAAAGATCTCATTTGAGCAAAATGACGGAGATGCTGTCTTGGTAATTATGTCGGTAACAACCGTTGCATTATCATTTTAACCAGGTAATGAATCTGAATGCTTCCCCCAGAGTCCCTATCCAAAACACAAGGGTACTTTTAGGTAATTACTGTAGTACAGTAAACTGTAAATATTTGATTACGCAAATCTTCATGTATTATATAGAGCACAAGCACCCCAATGTAAGGGTTGGAACATGCAAAGGTTTTTTTTTACTTGAGGAGCCTCCTCAAAAATGTAGTCAGGCTTCCAACAATCGGAGAAGGAAAAATCAAACTTTAATATAAACACACAGAAAAAAAAACGGAGGAAACATTTAAGAGTTTTGTGGTACAATCAGTGGCCGGTAGCTGGAGTTTTGTTCCACTTGTTCTGCTGCAGGAAGCGGACGCTTCTCGTTCACACCCTGTGAACACTGGATGTTCACACTGGTGTCGATACTTCACATTCAACAGGAGCCACAAGGTTCTCCCACTTTAACAACAACAAAAAGGCTTACATCAGCAGAGAGGGAGTACATTTATCCCACTGTGTCATTGCTTTAATGCAACAAAGAAGCATTACAGCAGGACTCGTTGGTACCTATATTACTTCTCTAGTAATGGGGCCAAATTGTATCGTAATTAGATTGAATTAAACACAGGTAAGATACCTTCTTTACAGTGCTGAGAAAGGTGAGACGTCAACCGTGCCACTAAAACACACAGGAAATAAACACAAAACTGAACGTCTCATATATTTATGAATTGCCAGGGCAGCTACGGCACTACACATCAAATTCCCCTATTTCCGTACAGCAAACCGTATCACGGTCCACTGAGCACAGGGACATTTCGAAAAATCCCAGAACGCAATTGAAGTTACAAACAGTGCACCAGTAAAGTACTTGAGGTGCCCTCCCAAGGTGCACGTGCTCTTTCTTCCTCATGCAGCTCAGTTTAACTAAACAGAGAAAAATGAAAAGTTGAGTGTTCCTACAGACAACGTCTGAGGAATGAACACTGACATGTGCATTTGAAGGGCACAGTTCATCGGTCGCCATCCATCCACAAAGTTGCCACCTCCCTCTACTGCTCCTTCTAGCACTCGCTCGCATATCCAATCCTCAGGGGTCGTGTGGTCGGAAGCACACAGTGCCCTCGATCTGGAAGGCTTAGGACAGCTCCAACGTGAACACACGCGTAACAAAGGAGGAGTGGGTGCTTGTTTGCATGTGCTACGTACCAAGCGGGGAGCTGCGCTGGGGCGGCAGGCTGCGGTGCTGGAGGCCGGGGCCGTTTGGAGGCGGAGGCCGGCTCTGAGCGTGGGAGGCTTCACCGGGGGGCGCTGTGGCGTTGTGCAGAGGTGTGTTGTTGGGCTCTGGATCTACGCAGCAGAGAAGAGAACATTTTGACCGTTTAGCATCCATAACGATGCACCAATCCTTTGACAAAGAAAATGAATGAGTAGGAACAGATGAGTGGATGAATGGATAGCACACTGGCATCCCGTTTCAGTCCCTCCATGTTTGACCTTCTTGGTTTTGATTGTTGAATGAAAAAGAAATGGTAGAATTGTTCAGGGCATTAATGTAAATCAGAACGTATTCATAAATACTTGGCTGCAAACACTGCAAAGATATTTGATCCTTCTTAACAGTTCTTGATAATATACCACAAAAATACTTGGCTTGGTATGTTCTCTTTATAATGACTTTTTTCACATTTCACATTTCACATTTTGTTTAATCAAAGTGTGACAACAAATAAACCTATTGCAAAGGGAGCCCTGTAGCTTTAATTACCATTTTTCCAAATTTGCATATACACAGTGTAGTGCTGGTGGGCAAATATACTGCAGTAACTAACAGAAGGTAAAGCATATATTTTGTCACATTAATAGCAGTGCTGCAAACACTCTCTAATGTTTACTACGTAGCATTGCTATGGATCTATTGACTCAAGAGTCAACAAATCACTATCTTTCTTTGGAGAGGGTTTTTGTCTTGAATCGTTGCAGTTCCCGTTGAAAGGATTAGCAGAAAACTAGAAGGCTCCAAAACTCAATTATTAATTATTCATAACAGCTGTTATTTCACCTCTAGCTTTCTGTGGCTTTGAAAGGCTTTGATTTTTAGACAAACCGAGGCTGTGGCAAGAAGCAGCAGAGAAACATTCCTGCCATACGAACAGAATATCCTCAGGATTGTTAAGAATTGCCAGATATTGTTGTTTTCTTTCATATCATTTCATCAGTATAACTCTGTCTCTGGATTCATGCACAACAGACAATTCAGCCTTTACATCTACTTCGCTGTTGCAAGTGAGCCCGGATAGCTCCAATTACATGTCATGAAATATTCAGCTCCTCAATCCTTATGTCTGCTGGCATATGCAGCATCAATAGGTGCGTCAGAGAGCAAAGGAGGACAGGTGTACATCCTTGAAGTGAAATGTATACTTAATCTAAGAAAGAATAAAACAGACAGTGCTTCAAGGAGCCTGAATTTACACATTAAGCCAGGTGCTCCACAAAAATATAATTTAATGCAAAATTAATGGAATTCCCTTTCGATGTCAAAACCGCCGGGGGGGCCTGTGTGCAGCCTCCTGTGGGATTACAGAAACTCTCCTCCCTGCCACCGATTCCCCTCGGAGAGTCAACAGATGCTTTTCTTTCCGAAGGCGACCTACTGAAAGTCTGAACCAAGGAGCAGATTGGTTGAAGCAGTCGGTCGGAGGCTGGCTCATACCGCTATGTGCTTGTTTCTAACCTACAATGGCTGTGCAGAACAAAAAGCTGCTGTAGGCATCCACTGATCAGTGTTACAAGGAAGAAGTGTACTCTACAGGGGAATAATAGCAAACATTGTATCTGCATATCGCTCATCTTTATTATCTCTACTGAGTGAAAAATGACCTTTCATGGGATAATTATGACGTCTGGCCACTGTGATACAAATATTGGAAATACAGAATAGTAATTTTGTCTTCTTTTTTTTTTGTCGGATTAGTTTGATACAATTATTTTATCATAGCAACAGAAACCAGCTACACTCTAAAGAAGATTAACTAAAAAATACGGTCTTTCTAGAAGAAAATTGGTTCTTATTCCATGCAGGACATGACGAGGTTGAGTGACTAAGCCACAAGAAAAGAGGCTTATTATGCAAAACATGTGACAGAGATTTGTACTGAACTGCTTTGAAGTCTCACTTGAAACTGGTATGTTAAGTACAAACTTGGATTATATAGTATACAGTCACGAGTAGCTATACAAAGTTCACATAATACCAAAGAGGTGGGTTCCATTATGTACACAAACGCACATATGACACCTACGCGTAGTTAAATAATGGCTCATTTCAAAGAGGAAAGATTACATTCAGTCAAGGCCATGAGTACTAAATGTTGCCTCTGACTGCGGCAGTTGAAATCATTATTTCAGTATTTGGTAGAAGTGTAGACTCTCAGCTTTATTTCAATGGATATAACAACATTAAATTACCCGTTGAGGAATTGCCGCCATTTTTAGACGGATCTCCATTTTCAGAGACTCTGACGTAAGTGGACAAAACTAACTGTGAATATGAGGATTCTTTTTGACACTTAGAAAAAAGTCCTTTGCGTCAATGGTTGACTGACGTCTTGCTCCTGTAGAAATCCTAAATGCTGCCTCGAGAAGCTTTGCCAGGCTTTTTACTGCAGCCTCATGCATGTGCTGCTTGTTTGTGGGTCTTTCTGCCTTCAGTTTTAGCATCTGACTGAACAAAGTCAACTATAACTGACCACACGATCAAATGTTAGACAGACTTCCTAGTGGACTGATTGATGAATCTGCAATCGAGAAGCGGCCCTTCACTTTGTTCACATTAAAATCGCTTGAAAACACCACGCGGATAAAGTATTAGCACACTCTTTTATGAGGGCTACCAGGCCTCATCATAGCCTTCTTCAACTCTTTTTTTAGCAGCCTTGAAACCCACAACTAAATGATAGTAAATATATCTGCAGCAAACGTTCTTTGAACATTGCGATAACGTCCCATGATCGTTCTAGCGTCGTCCAAACAGTCAGTAATGTCTGTTGTCTTGTGTGGAAGTCAAGGAGTAATGAAGATGGCCCGTAAACGTCGTAACCATCAGGTCCACGTTCGCTTACCATCCGACCAATAGGAAAAGACGCTGTAAGTCCAAACACACTTGTACAACAGACACAACAGCATACTGTGGGCTCATAATTGACTCCCACTCCCACTAAATGGACAGACGTATTCAATATGGCACCAGATTCAAGATGTTCATCACGGAAGGATTTACTCCCTTCTAATCACAATGTGAGTGACACCTCTGCAAACGTGGCTGCATATCAAACATACTGTTGCGTAGTAATAAAGCAGCGTTGTCAGAGCCAGCAGCAGCCTGAAGGCAACTGCTGCCGTGGAAGCTGCCAGTCGCGTCTATGCTGCCTGAGCTAGAGATTAATTATCTGCTACACACTTATCTATTCACTGAGGCAGCAGAAAGGAAGTCCGCAAATTTGTCCGTCATTTATGAATCAAGCCGCCGCTCCACAGGGAAACTAACAACGGTGCCGATATAAGACACAGTGGTCCACATTTGCTGCGGCCATTTTCTGAAAGCGCCGTGTTAAAAATGGAACAAAATAACCCAATTGGAGAATCCTAGGAGGGGTGCTGCAGCAGAAAGAAGGACCATTATCCGACTCATCTGTGGTGGAAGTGTACAAAGCAGTTAACACATTTCACTCCTAAAGGAAATCTGTATTTTGGATCAAAACTACTGAAAATAAAACTCTGCTGCTTTAAGTGGCATTTTTGTGACTCAGTTGAACAGGATCTTGGGATGAAAGCAGGAGGGGAAATATTTTCCCCACGGGTTGTGTTTTTCAGACAATGGCTGGTTTGAGTCAGCTCTATGGATACATTAATCTGCAGTAGCTCTACATTGGATCAGAACACACATGTACCGTGTAACAAACACACATTTTATTATCCTTCTGTTACACTCGTAGATAATCTGCTTGCCGAGGACATCTTACCAACCTTGATTTCTTTAAATAAAGACGGTAGAAAGATTAGAAATACTGCATTACACAGGCTGATCAGAGGCAGCAGAGGGCGGGCATGAAAACCCCTATGATGCGCCTACTCGTGATAAATGAATGGAAAATGAGAGGAAGTGAGCGTATGTTACTATAGTAACCGAGGGCAGCCAGGATTACTGGGGAACTAACGAGAAGATGTAGACGCACTGAAACGTGAAAGTGAAATATAAGGCAGGCAGATCAGACGAAGCACTGTCTGTCTGATGTCTGAAATATTTCAGTCTGAGTCTCTCAAATTTATACGCTGAGGTGATAGAAATTCTCTAACTCAATTCATAAGAGATGGGGTCAGGCAGCGTGACTCACGGGGAGAAGGGCGGCATGGATCACTGTGACTACTTTCGTAGGACTGATTGCTGGAGGCAGAGGAGACACTGGAGGTCCGGGCGATGCCAAAGGTGCCCAGACGGGCCACCGGCAGGGCGGAGAAGCCGGGAGGCCGCAGACCAGACTGGCCTGATTTGAGCAGGACACTCTTGGGGCCGGTTTCCGGACATCTCTCTCCTGACCTCTTTTGTTCTCCTGGAGGTAGATAGAAACATATGTAATTAGACAGCGGCGGTCAATAGTAAATGAAAAATATATTTTACTTTGAAATAAATAATGGCACAGGATTTATTGGGAGGGAATAAGTCAAATCTGCTGTGAGGAGTAAGACAAATGATTAATGTCCAATCTCAGGTAAGAATACATATTTTCATTAAGTGATGAATCAAATGTCCACTATTCATTTCGCAACATAAGCACCTAAGCATGAAGCTTGTTTAATGTGGTGTTATTTAACGTTCTCGTACACAACACTACACATACTCATTCACTTTGATTCTCACCTGCAGAGTCCAGGTATCCATGGGTAGACGCCTGACAATTTTGGCCCGGGACGGGGCCTGACCTTTGACCTGTCTGCTGAACTCTTGTCTTGGCTGCAGGCTGCCTGGTGACTGCCCCCAACCCCAGCTGAGGCCTCAGAGCTCTGGGTGAGCGGTAGACGCTGCCTCCTTCTTGGGAAACGTGCTGGGGAGGAGCATTAGAGAAACACTCAATCACTGTCCTCATTTCACGACTGGTGGTGATTGATTGATTATATTGATTCTCAAGACCATTGTTCACCTGGAGATATTTCTCTGACATTTCCTCATGGAAACTGCCCGACTTCCCACCCAGCCTTTGAGGGATGGTGCTGCTCGAAGGTTTGACCGCAGTCGCAGCCGTGCCCGGAGGATAGCCCCCCCTCTTCTGCATCTCCTGTTGATATTTGTCGAACAGCAGGTTGGAGGAACACAGCACAGAGGTAGATTTTGCTTGAGGACCAACCTTAGGAGTGTTTTGAGCTGGTGAGCTGGAGTAAGAAGACAGTCTAAGTGGATGTGTGGGAGCTTCGAGTGGAGCATCCGTCCCTTGTTGTTTTGCTTGAGGATTTTTACGGACACAGGTGATGATTTTTGGTCGGACATTTTTAGGCTTCTGGGGAGAAGTCCTCCTAGGTTCAGGTTCTTTCTGCTGGGACGTGACGGGTTTGGGGATGCAACTGCTCAAACTCGTCTTAATTGGTTGTCGGACTGATTGACCTAAATCTCTCTGAGGGGAGTCACTGCGCTCCAAGCTCAGTGCCCCGATGCTCTGGACCTTGGCTGGAGAACCGAGCCGTTGCCTTCTGGGGGAACAGGAGGTCGTTTTAGGTGAAGCAGGAGTGGCTGGTCGACTGGGACTTCCCCATGGCTTCCTCCTCTCCAGACTTGAAGAGCTGGAGGTGGCGCTTTTCTCAAAGGAGCCTTGCTTTTTCAAGCTGTTGTCAAAGGAATGCTGCTTTTTTACAGTATTCTCAAACGATGGCTGCTTTTTGAAACTCCTGTCAAAGGAGTTCTGTTTTTTGAACGAGGTATCAGACGATCCTTGTGTCTTTGTGGATTTGGATTCCATTGGCGACGGAGACCCCTTTGCACCTGTTTTTGTCAGGTTGTGGTTCACAGCAGGGCTCTCATCAGCTTGTGTGCTTTTGTCCATTTGTGTGCTTTCATCATGTGATACGTTTGCAGCGTGTGAACCTTTGTGCTCTGTGCTTCTCCGTCGATAAGAATCCCCCTCGGAAATGGTTTTCCCTGCTTTAATTCCCTGGTTTTTGTTGTTCTTGTGCTCATCAATGACACCTTCACACAGTTCTACTCCATTGCCCACGACTGATTTTTTAACTGCTGAATTCGAGTTCATGTCCACGTGGTTCCCGTGTATTGTGCTGTCTCCAGAAGAGAGGGAAGAGGCCTTGACTCTCTCTGGGATGTTGTTGCCATTCTGGGACACCAGAGTCAAGTCTTCTGAGATGGTTGAGTAAGGACCGGAGGCCATGTTCCAGGAGTCTGTAGTCTGCGTCCTGCTAGCGGTGTCCATAGCAGTGTCCATGCTTGAAATGGTGGACAGACAGGTTACAAAAACATCCGTTTCTGAGCTCAACTCTGTTCCGGAAACCTCTCTGCTCTCAGAGATGTGAGCGGCACTCGATTCCTGCTCACTGGCCCCGTGCAGAACAGACCTTCTCTCTCCCCTGCTCTTGTTATCCATTACTGGTTCTACTGTATCTTTGCTACACGCCGAACGCTGTCCTTGAAGCGGTTTACGGTCTGCGAGTCCCACAAAGTCCTGCCCATCCTCAACCAGGTAGGCCTCGAGCTCTTGACACTCCAGCATCTCAAACTCAGCCAGCTCGGGGTCATCGCACTGCGAGTCAGTACCCCAGATGATGACTTTGTCCCGCTGAGCCGTTTCGGTCACCGGCCCAGACAGAGTGCCGACGTCGTCCGTCGTCGCGCAATCCTCTGTCTGGATTTCGTTGGCGTTGGCATCACCGCCGGCCAGCACGCCACTCTGCTGGTTGTTGTTCCTTAATTCCCTGTCACCAAAAGTCTCGCTCATTTTGGAAATACCTCTGAGTTTACAGCTCCCTCAAGAGGACTTTCAAAATCCATCATCCATGGCACAAATTACAAAAACGTCTGTCTACCCATCGAAGAGTCATTCGGTGTGGCAGTATTGAGAATCTCTATTGTCGTGTCTGATTTGGAGGATGAATTTTCATGAAATCTGGGGTCCTTATCCTGTATTGAATAAAAGATGACAGATTAAAATGTCAACTAATGAGAGATAGATAGAAGAATAGATAGAAATAGGAAGGAATCTCCCAGACAAGTAAAACAACCAGATGGCAAAATGTTCCAAAGACTTACTAAGTCTGTAGAGAAAAAAGATTAAAAATAAAAAGATGCATTTGGATTTCACCTTCCAGTTTACAAATGACAAACAGTTTGTAAATGCTGGTTCAATGGTTTGTATATGAATGTAACATCTAAATACAGGGATATTTGAGTATAATATATGTATTTAAAGCAGGATGCATTTGTGCGTGGATCAGATATATATATATATATATTCGCGAAACGCTCTTTGTGCTTTTGTATATCTTGAGATTCCATTAATCAAAGTTCCCACCAGTTCCAAAATCCATCCATTGTTGAACGCATGATTGCAAAATCTAAAACTGGAGAAACCTCATTAGTGGATAATTTCCCAAATGATTTTCTCATCTGACAGAAAGCTGATTGATTGCACTCGGAAAATACTGAAAAGGTTTTCCGATTGGCAGCAATAAAAACATAATTTAATAAAAGGGCGAGAGGAGAAAATACTTCCAACCTTTGAGTTAAAAAAAGATGCAGTTACAGTCCTTTAAAGCAGACGAGCATACACACAAGAATGACCTGTCCTTTAAAAGTCCTTTAATATCCAACAAAATGATTTTAGGTCTTGCTAGAGCACGTAGGAGCATGTAGGTGCATGTTAAGATCATTCTCATGTAGACACTATGGCTCTGTCTAAGATGATCAAACATACCTTTTCATACTTCTCAACAATCAAATGTCATCAAAGTAGTTTACTCTGAAAATACCGTGTAAATACATAACATGTTACCAATGCCAGAACATTTGGTGAACAGCGGGCACGGCACTGTTTGACAAGAAGAGAAGCGTGCGGTTGTGTTATAATAACAGCGTGTGGCTGTTAAATGTGTTTGCTCCAACATTAGCTATGAATGGGTACAAAATGAAAGTGCGTACATGGAAAAATATACGGGTCAGGCCATGTCTGAACTTGTTCCACTGGTGCTTATTGGAGTTCTCCTTCTGTTGTGGAGGAACTTGTCCCACACAAAATGATACTGATAGAGAATTTCTCAAGAGTTGAGAAGCTACGTCAGTGTCACGTGACTGACTATTACAGGCAAACGTATCATCATCCAAAGGACCTCAGGGATTGAACTATTCCCTCAGTGACCTTGTGTGTGGTACTGAGAGCTTTGGCTCTTTTTTTCATAAAACAACTAATTGTTTTCACTTTTCTTACGTAGCAGGAAATGGCATCTCATTTCCCTTCTTTAAAAAAATAAAATAAAAACAGTTGTGTTACAACAAGCTGCTGCAGGTTTCCAACCAGAAGGGGGATACTAACTGTAACCAAACACGTGTATTGTGTTTTCTACTCCTGGCGGCGCCCAAAGACGCACAGACAGTAAATGCTGTGTCAGCAGCTGCAATGCAGAGCACAAACCGATGAATCAGACCTGACCCTCCCACCCCGCCCACCAATCAGGTCTATACCACATGGTTACTTCACTGCCTGACAAGAACTGACAGAGGAGGGATTAAGTCTTGTTCAAGAGAGAAGTTCCAGTAGTAGGATTGTTTCTGTTTTCTTAAACGGATTTCCGGCTCCAGTAAAATGCACTGCAGACGCAACAACACTGTGCCCGTGTCAAGTATATATATATATATAACACAAATCACAACAGGTGATGGATGTGGCTCAGTGTTATGTAGATGTTTTCTTTTTTTCTTAGTTATTTGACAAATGACAAAAACATAAACGGAAAGGATTAAGGCAAACATGTAACATTAACATCTCTCAAAGGCCCAAAATAGACTGTCACTCGCTCACTTTGAGGGATCTCTGATCTGGGAAGGGTTCGTACCTTGCCTGTCCTACTTTTACCTGGGAGTTACGTTAACATTTCACACTGTGCGTTTCCGCTGCACAGGTTTGAGATGAAAGCATTACAGAGATAATTACCTTTTAATTCATTTCAAACCGCTTTCCCTTCAAAAAAAAAAAAAAAAAACCTCTAGGGGTCTGAGCCTGACGGAAAGAGTGAAACGCCGCTCGTCTCACTGACTCCACTCCACTTCCTTTACGGCCTCTATGCCATTCCCATGCTGCTCCACCGTATGTGCAGACTGATGTGCGTGAGGATCTCAGGCTGTTTCCTTGCTAAATGTTTTCCTCACACAACGGTTACAGCGATGCAGGGAATCCGTGCTCACAACGACGACACGCTTCACGGAGCATGTTTTCCCCCTCCCCCAATTGTTCAGCGACTCACCCCGCCGCCGCCACCTTCCCGCCTGTATGCAGCATGATGCATATAGGCGTGATGGCGAGACCTTCAACGGACCTCTTATGAAACCAGTGCATCCTTGCTGCTCGTGGGAGCGTGGACTCGAACCACTGGTTTTTACAGTAACTGAGGAGCTACATGGCGCAAATTTATCCACAGCAGGGCACAAATCAAGGCCGGCAATTTGTCCACCAAGCTGCTCTTGGTGTTTGAACTGGATTCCTCATGAAATATTGACACCAGTCTCCCTCCCATTTTAACGCTTCAGTGGCTCTGACTTCTTTGTGTAACCAACTGGAGCTCGAATAAGATCCTGTATGAGCACATTAACACGGTGTGTGTGTGTGTGTGTGTGTGTGTGTGTGTGTGTGCCAGGTAAAGGCACACTCCGTGCAGAGGCAATGATACATGCTGGGAAAAGCATTGATGTGACGTACAAATAAATGGAAGTCATTTCTAGATATTTGCACAGGTGCAGCAACAACATTGTTCATGTTAAACATAATCAGCTGGTTGAGGCCTCGTGGTCCTCGGAGCTTCACCGTCACATTTTCCATCCACCAATCTGCAGATTTGAATAACCGTGGTCACTCAAAACCCCACCAGCAGACATCTGTCACTGATTTCGTAACCCGGCTCATGCTGCAGCTTCTTCCTCATTTCGCAGCTTCTAAATATAAATTCCACACACATGATCCCAAACACGGAGGAAGGAGGAGGATGTGTGACTTTTGGGACAGAAACGAAACAAACATGAGAGAGGTGAAAGAATAATGCATGCAGGTCTGAGACACACACACACACACACACACACACACACACACACACACACACACACACTCTGAGGTGAGCCCACATGCAGCGAGGTTACCTTTGCTTCTTTTTTTTGAATAGCTTGAACGTGCACACTGGCAACTATAATGTGTGCTGCTGGAAAAACGACTTGAAAGGAACAGCAGCACCCATGGATTCATTCGCTGTCGCTCCAGTAGTCAATAAATCCAATCATCACTGCCGCTGATCGGAGATTTGAGACGGAGACAAAATAGAGAAAAACGCCCGCTGGCCTCCGGCGTGAAACGGTAAAACCTCACCGACGAGATGCAGGACATCCGCCGCGGAGGAGCGCGTCGGTGGAGACACGAAGAAGCCGCCAGAAGACGAGGAGGAGGAGGAGGGACGACACCTTCGGCTTTAGAGGCAATCAGGAGGTCTGCACCATGGCTGGAAAGCAGGGAAGGAGGAGAGGAGAGAGGAGAGAGGACCCTACGCCCATGCCGACTTTACGTCGCCCCCTTCAGGTAAGACCCTCCATGTCTCCTCCTCCTCCTCAAATAGGTGCATAGGCGTCATAGCGCTATAGTCCGCGAAGGCGATGAAGAGGACACAGAAACACTGAACATTAATAAAGAGTTGTAGCAAAGTAAGTTCTACTCCTCGCGAAGAGCTTTCTCAGTGTCATTGTTCTACGAACTGTATTTTTGAACTGTCAACATTATGTAGAATTTCCAGAAATACAACCAGATAAATGATTGCTTGACCCAAGTAAATTAGATATATTAGTATATATAGTATAATACATAGTCATTTTAGAAAATTTAAAATAGGGAAAGAGTAGGGGGAAAAAACAGGAAAATACCCATAACACAATTAGCAAGAAAAACAGGATCTGTGTGTATATTTTCACATTTTATTGAAATTTAATTCAAATATTTTACAGCAGTAACAATACAAACCGCAACCAATACAAAGACAACACTTGCTGGACAAGCGTGCGTCACCATTCCAGTGCACCGTAAACACCTTTAAAACTTAAAAAAATTATCTAAATATCTTTTAAGCATCATTAAGTTTTTACATAGTGCAGCATGCAAATGTTTAAAAAAACCCTATGCGACTTATTCAGATGAACCATCCAACTCAAAGGAAGAGGAGTCTCACTAAATGAATGATTCCTGACTGCTGTACATTCAAACAGGTATTCCATCTACGGTGTGAACAGCCACAGGTACAATTAGTTCATTATTTACTTTAAGTAACACTTGCAAGAATAGACCAAGGACGGAAAGTGAAACTCGAATGTTTGATAATGTCCCACTGATTTACAACATTTAGTGAACAGTTTAGATAAAAGCCAGCTGCGCCAGAAAATGGTAACTTTCTGCAGCACAATCTTATTTGTCAATGTTGCTTCATAATCTCAAATACAGCAAAGTTTCATAAAAACTGTTTATACACAAAGCCATGTCGTATTTGACATTTGCACGCCATTTCATTTCCATTGGTAAGGAATCTAAAATAACTAAAAACAATAATAAAAATAAAATTAAACGTTTTTCCTCAAGTGAAACATAAAATGGCAAAAGGTGAAAATTTCTGTTTGGCCTTATAAATATATGCTCTCCAAACATCAAAGTATACACTATATGCAGATAATATATACTTTTCAAAATTCTAGGTGTTGATAGAGCAATATCCCACCTTTCAAAGACTTAACATTCGCTTGAGAAGTAGACACCTAAAAGACCTCCTCTGTTGCGTTTAATAAATCATTCCACATTAGGATGGTCTCTTCTCTTTGGCTGGTATAAGAAAATGGCGTTCCTTGATTGAGACAACACTGCTCTATTTAATCTTAGATGCCCTGAGATGCACTAATCAAAGTACTGTACCATGTTTCAGAGCTCGGAGATGAAACAAGTGTAATACCTGCAGAATTGTGCTTTCTTTCAATCAAGATACTGGGAAATTCCCAGCTTAGTTTGAAAAGCATTATTTGCTGACTGGCAAATTCCTAAAAAGGGATCATTAACTTTGTGCTTATTTTTCCTGGATGAATGTAGTAGTGTTTCCGAGTGCCACCTGGATTAAAAAAAATAATCTCCAATTTGACGTTGGCACGGTCGCCGGCACTGTGCCGAATGTAAAAGTTGCAAGGCGAGTAACTCGTCCTGGACGTAGAAAATCGTCCAAACGCATGCATATCTGCTGAGCCTTATTTTGATCTGAACGCTTTTGGCAACACAAAAATGTTGAGCGACCCCCCCCAAAAAAGGTCAGATATAATAACAGAAATAATGAAAAATAATTCTGATACACTGATGTTATAAGGAACCAAGTAGTTTGAGTGAAGTCTCTAAAAATGTTTCTTTGGTTGATTTGGTTCAGCAAAAATTCATATTTAATTCATATATCAGAGTGCAAACCTACTTTTCAGCTAGAAAATCCATACGTCTGAAATAAAATATTGGGTTTGAGATGTAATCGGCCTTTTCAAAAACAATCTGGTAATAAAACTCCCGTCTCCTCATGAATCTTCATCGTTGTCTCCTGTGGAAGTTTGTTTGTGGTGTAGAAAGGCTTCCCTCTCTTTGGCCATGGGCTCCCCCTTTATTGCGCAGGTTGGCGCGTAGGTGTCGGACCTGCTCAACGCCGCTTCTGTACTGTTGCGAATACCATAGCCGAAGTATATGGAGAAACCTAGAAATGGTGTACAAACATTACGTGAAAGCAGCAAATTCATTGTTAAATCACGAGTGCACAGATTGTGTTTGGCACTGCAGTGCCACAATTCCAAAATACCTAACGCCATCCAGATGGCAAAGCGCATCCAGGTTCCTCTGTCGAGCTGCATCATCAGATAGATGTTTATGAACATACTGATAATCGGGACAAAGGGCAGCAGGGGAACCTGTGAGAAAACAGTGTGTGCACAACATTACAACCTTAAATGTTAGGAAAAAGTACACTCTATTTGCATTAGTCCTCTAGCATGTTGGGAGCAACTTCAAAGTCTAAAGCGCAAACCCCCTCCTCTCACTTTACTGTATGCAACAACTCATGTTTAAAGAAGGCATTTTAAGTGGTTTCTTGAGATCAGCAAGTCAAGCTGTATTTGCATACAACATAAAACAGGTTACATACAAGCAAACAGCTGAGTACTCTATATAACAGTGTCACACTGCTGAAAGAACGCAGTGTACCTTAAAGGCCAGCTTGGTCTTGCTCTGCGGCTGTCTCCACACAATGAAGGTGACGACCAAACAGGCCGCCGCCACGATACAGAGGACAGTCACCGACCACACTGCCAGGCGTCCTTGGACAGCTACGACGCTGAAGACACACACCAAAACACCTGGGCGGGAGAAGAAAAAGCGTGAGATGATGTGCGGTGTCGGTACCACCGTTTGTTCCGCCCCCGCTTCGTGCGTGCAGCTCACCGATTACGCTGGTGCAAATGTTGACCGAAAACCCGGACAGGGGGGACGGCTCGCTGTTTGAAGGCCAAAGTAAATTCCTGATGGTGAAGCGATCGTCCGGTTGTGGCAGTATGTGGATGTTCCCCTCATTGCAAGTCTCAGCCATTTCGGTCCTGTCCTGGGTGTTGGCCATCTCATAGGCCACACTGGGCTGTTCAGGCTGGTACCTTCAGGTGGCAAAACAGATGGTCAAAGCTTAGAAACTGCGACAGTCCCCAAACTGCTGTTCGCCATGGCTGAGGACATTTTAAATTCCAATGCATCACCTTCATTATGAGGGGTTTAGCATTTCTCTCTTGTGAAAATGCTGCAGAGAATTACTGTAATCTAATACACATGAAATACAGTCCAGCTGGAGATCAATGGGTTTATGAAGGGAGGCGGCTGCAAATTATCGTCTTTAAAATCATTCAATGTGTATTTGAAGCCAAAACGTTTAACATCACGATGCAGGTTAGAAAAGTGGAAACAAAAACTGAGCATCTTTAAAAAGGTGTATTGTGCAGGAGTAAGTGCTTTAATGTGGCACCAAACTGCTTTTTGTCATGTAAATTCCCTCCTGTGTGTGTGTGTGTGTGTTGTTCGCAAAGCATCTCCTCACCCCGTTAAACACAGTTTGCACTTCTAGCTCTCAGCCACCAGCTCGGCCGTTGCCTTGTTGAGAGGCATTAGAAACGCCAACAATCTTTTATCTTGGACCTTTAAGCACTTCTACACACATCTGACCAGAACAAGCCTCTGACTGGGGATTCCCTCAACCAGTGAGAGGAGGTGCAAATTCCCGAGGGATTCAGGCCTGTAATCCTTTAGCATCGCGACAGACTGTATACGTCAACGGAGAGATGCGTCGTACCTGAGGACCAGCACACAGGCCGCCACCAAAGAGTAGGCCAGCAACGTGCCGATGGACATGAGGTCCACCAGATCCTTCAGGTCAAACAGGAAAGCCATCACAGCTGCAGGACAAACGGGAGGAAACCACACACACACATACGGATGAGATTTCTTTTAACTAATCCTTAAAGAAAAAGAAAAAAGTATCACAACATAAGGCAGATATTTTATTTTTATATTATTCCTACACACTTTCAAGTATTACTGTAGATTATTTCATTACAACCTCAGCCAACATCCTCCTTCCTGAAGAGGGCACTGTTGCCTTGGGCCTCATGGCAGCTACCTACCAGACATAAGCCCCGCCCCCAAGGTGGCGAGGTCGGGCGTCCTCCTCACGCTGACACGCGCCAAAAACGAGAAGAGCAGACCATCGCGAGCCATCGCAAAGATAATGCGTGGGAGTGGAAACATGGAGCCAAGGAGACTAAGCCATGGATGAAGGAAGAAGGAGGAGGAGGCAGAGATATTTTTTTACTTAAATATATTTCGGGAGATCGAGTTTCACACGTGGCCTCAACTGCAACCCTTCTCAGCCAGACATGCGGTTATACAGCTCATCTCTTAAGATGTGCCTGCGCTGAGTTGCACATGGCAACACTTGTGGAAAACATTTAGCATCTTTGCAGGACACTTGTCCTGCATCCCGATCTTGGTTTTTGGACGAGTGCGTGCGTGTGTTGAGGCGTCGTGTGCCAAGCACGTCTTATAGGGTCAGAGTTCAATAGGAACCCCAGCCAGTTAGTAGGTTTTAAGTCATGACCTCACCTGCCGCCACGCCTGATGTTACTGTAGCTGTTAGAGGGGTTTTGGTTCGTGGGCTGATTTCGGCCAAACATTTGAAGAGCAAGCCATCTTCTGCCATGGCCCAGATCACTCTGGGCATTGGGAACATGGAGCCGAGTAAACTAGCACGGGAGGGAGAGAAAACGGCATGCCGTGCAAGCCAATGCACGCGGTTAGATCATTTAACAGGGGGCTGTCGCCACAAGCTTTCAACGTGTCCACAGTCTGAAATGTTGTTTGCTAAAGCATCAACAATTCCCATAACTAGATCCAAGGAGCTCAAACCAGGGAAAACGCCCTATAATACATCGAGCAAGAGAAAACCGGAGTTAATTAATCACAAAAAATCCAAATCAATATGGCTCAGCTCCAAAAAAATACAATTATACAACAACCACATGTGTTGAATTAAAGAAAATAAAAAGTATATTAAATACTATATTAGGGGTTATAAAAATGAATTATTAAGAACTTTGCATGCAGAAAGGCAGTAGGGAAGCCTCTTACCTGGTCGACAAGGCACATAAAGATCCAATAGCGACTGCGTAAGTGGCTTCCTCCCAGCCCACGTGCTTGAAGGCCACTGGTAGAGGGCTGTTCTCATCCAGCAAGTAGTAAGGCATCATCAGAGTGAGGGCCGCGGACACACCGACGTACGCCACGAGGCAAATAAGGAGCGAGGCCACGATCCCGATGGGAATGGCCCTCTGAGGATTCTTCACTTCTTCTCCTGGGGATGGAACATAGCAGGGAGACGTCAGAGAGGCTAGCGGCACCAGCGTGGCTCATCAATGCGCTGCGTTCCCGCTCACCTGTGGTGGCAATGCAGTCGAAGCCTATAAATGCATAGAAACAGGTGGCGGCGCCGGAGAGGACGCCACTAATGCCGAAGGGCATGAAGCCGCCTTCGCCGATGCGTGCTTTTAATGGTGTGGAAACGGACGCACTGGAAGTAAAACCCAAAAAGGCTTTTGCTTATTTAAATAAACACACACAGGTACATTATCAGGCACAAAGCATTTGAGGAAACGGGCTTCTGGTGTCACTCACTTGAGGCTAGAGTTGCTGGTGGCATTGAGGATTTCCTCAGGTTTCAAGTTCCAGTTTCGTAGGTTTCCTTTGACCAAGCCAGAGATGATCATAAACAGCAGCACCAGCACATTGATGCAGGTGAACACTTTATTAACCCAGGCCGACTCCTTCACTCCAAATATAAGCAGTCCTGAGAGCAGATCACAACAGACAACGTGAGAAAGGACAGCTGAAAGGAAGACAGAGATAAAACCGTCGTTTCCCAGAGCTGCTCACCTGTCAGAGAGATTATTATAAAGACGGCAAATATGTCTGGATAGTCTGCCAGGATGCCTGGGGCGTTCATGGTCATGTGACGTCTGCAGAACATCTCAATGTGCCCTCCGATGAGCTCATCGAAGGTCGCGCTCCACGCCCGGGCCACACTCGAAGTCCCTGTGCGGAGGAAAGTTCTCACGTTAACGGAGCAACACGTAGCAGCCGAACGCCGAGTCCTCCCCGAGTCCCAGTGTCTCACCGATGACGTAAGACAGGATGAGGTTCCAGCCTGTGATGAAGGCCCACAGTTCCCCCACAGTCACGTAGCTGTAGAGGTAAGCAGAGCCGGTTTTGGGGACCCGGGCGCCGAACTCGGCGTAGCACAGGCCTGCCAGGACCGAGGCGAAGGCGGCGATGAGGAAGGAGAGGACGATGGCGGGTCCGGAGCCGTCCCGGGCCACGGCGCCGGCGAGGACGTAGACCCCGGCGCCCAGCGTACTGCCGACCCCCAGGGCCACGAGGTCAAACGTGTTGAGGCACCGAGACAAGCGGGAGTCGTCGGCGCTGCAGTCGACGACTTTCACCCGCAGGAGCTGCTTCCCGACGCCCTTTAATGTCGCTAGAATCATCCTGGCCGCCACCGGGAGCTCAGCGGGACGTCACTTGGCTGTGGACAGAAAAAAGACGGGACCGACTTCAGCGCCGAGATTTCATGTAATCGGACAGAAGGAGGGAGAAAACAAGTGCTGTTCCATCAGATCAGATCAAGTCTCTCTGTGACTGGACGGTTTCAGAAATAATAGCGTGGGTTGATTGAAGTGCTGACATATAAACGGAACATTTTGTTGTATCACTTTTACATTTAAAATAAAAACACACTCAAATCCCCTCTGCTTAATGTACTTGAAGGTCTTCTGTCCAGTGATGGAGGCTACATGCCGTAATAAAAAGGGATTTCCAAATAAAGAGAATTAGTTTTCATTTATTCTGCATTGTGATGGCCATTAATCCAAAAACACAATCAAGTAGGTTTCACGTTATGAAAGTGCTTCGATGAGAGTATAGAACGTACTAATTGCTTCAACCGAGCACATTATTACAGTACAAGACTTTAGGTAAAAAAAAACAGTCAATAAAATCATACCAAGTTCTGCACACGCTTGTGTGTTCCTTTAGGTGGCTGAAAAAAAGAAACAAAGAAAAGTGACTGGAGTGAACAATTAGGTTGCAACGTTGTTCATTTGAACCCTAAAATCCATTACATTTTCCATTCTAGTTGAAAAGTATTATCCACCAATAAGGTGACAGACATTCTGTTCTCCTATATTATCCGATCTACGCAGAGAAATACAGCGGCTGACAACTTATTTTCTTATCAAATATAACAACAACCTGTCAAAATAAGGCACAAGAACAATTTGTTCAGTTAAAATAACAACATCAATGTTACAAAGTCAGCCGGACAGCTTAAACGTCACCTTTCATGAGAATAAAGATAACTCAACCATGATGTCACCAGACGTTTCATAACAACATCATCTGCAGAACAAATTACATAAATGCATATTCTTAATATTGAGCAGGTCATAATTCATGACAATCTGACATCCGATGTCAAAGCTTCTTCTAAAAGAGCGCATCAGAGACCGATCTGATCGACAGTGCACACAAGCACTCACTTTCTCAACAGGATCTCCTGCCTTCACTGCTGTGCAGCTTTTCTTCTTTAGCGTGCAAATCCACTCAACAACTCACTCACTCCAACAGAACGGTGACTCCCTCAGCGGGCCAATGAGCTGGAGACCCAAAACCAGCTGCCATGATGCCCGTCCCCTTTTCTGCGCCCCCTCGAGGTTACGGTGACTTGAAACGTCTCCATTGGGCAAGAAGTTGGACGAGGCCGCCAAACAAACCCCCGCTGAATGCACGCAAAGCCGTAAGCAATAAAAATGAACATGGGTGTACGTGTGTGTAGGACGTGAAAGAATGCAACCTTGTGTGCGATGCAGGTGGCAACATTTGTTAAATTACAGGGGGGAAAAAAGGAAGTGGTTCAGAACTCCCCCGCAGAGGCAGAAGTAAAAGAAGAAGTGACGTGCAGCGGCTGGGCTAAAAAAAGGCGGGTGGGCGAGGCAGGACCCGGCCCTCTTCTCAGCCAATCGGGGGGAAATGTGCTCGTGACGTACTTGGGTGAATTAGGAATAGCAGGCGACCACATGCTCGGAACTATTTGGCGTATGACTAAATACTTAAGAGCCTTCAACTTTTAAGCTCCAGGAAAAGTTAAGTTAGTGACCTTTTAGTAGTAGTTGTTGCTATTTAAGGAATATATCACCAAAATCGTTCCATTGATGTAAACGAAGGTTTTCGATGGCATTACATCCTCAGAATATGATGGACTTTCAGTGAGTCTTATTACTCGACGTGAACACCTGCAGAACCACCTGCATGTGGAAAATACACCGTATCCAGAGGGTTTGAGTATGCAACTTCTCCCATGAATTTGAGAAACACTGCGGAGTGTCTTTATTTTCCCTGCATGAATTAAAAAAAAAAGGCTGCAGTAACAAAGGACGCTTGTGTCTCACTTGGCACAAGAAGTGTATTTAGCAGCGCTACAAAAAGCCCACCTGCCCTTGTGGTGCAACTGGTGTGAAGCAAACAAAAGTGCCACGTGAGAGCGATCGTGAAACATGACGCTTACACAAGCCAAAACAAACTTTCCAGGAAATCAGGCCTCGGTGACCTTTCTCGGGCCACGCTGACCTTGTAGCATTGAAGCCGCGAAGGACAGAACGTTACAAGGGGCCAATAGAAGAAAGGAAAGTACAGCTGACGTTCATATTGTCAGGCGGACAGAAGTCTCAAAGTGGCCACTTGAGCGAACATGGGTGGTTTCTTCTGGGTGGTTTAATGCCTGAATATAAAACCACACATGCACAGAGTACAGCCAATACTAGGACCATCCGTGATGTAGACACCCTGGTTTAAAGCAAACAACCTCAAGAAGGAGTGTGGAAGTGTTTTCTGTCCATTGTACAATTGTTCAATCAGACATTTTGCTTTATCAACATGACAGGAATAATACCAATATTCACATTTATTTTACCCGCGTAAAGCCCTCTATTGACATTTACTTCTTTGAAGACAAACAGTCCTCATACAAGAGATCTGATTCAACCAAACAAAGTACGGTCACTGCGCACTAAGATAAGAAAAGAATTAACATCCCACGGGGTATTTGCTCTTGGATCAAACCATAGCATCAAATTACAGCTGCCAGCATGACAACGCACACGAATGCACGAAACATAGATCATCATACATAAACTCATGCATACACACGTCACGGTTACAAATAATTAAATAATAAAACCGTTAATAAAGGTGTGATCAAAACAGATGATGAATCTTCAAGTAGGAAGGAAAGGAAATGGCAAACCGGACCCCAAACAGCCCCATTGAAACTAAACAAATAGGAAAATAAAATGATAAAAACTGAATTTAACGGTTTTGAGGCATTATAGACGTGGTAATGATTCTAGGGTTTGAAGGTGTAGATAGTTTAAAAAAGTGGAACCAATATGTCCTGCGTCGTGAGACTTCTCAGAGGGACGGATGGACAGAAGGGACGCAGTACTGACCTTTGTGATTGTGAACTTTGATAGACTCAAACATCTGTGTGGTTCGTGTAGGATTTGTTTTATTCTGGGAAGCTTTTGACGGCACCATCTTCTTCAATTAAATGTGTCTTCGTCTACTTCAGCGAATTCTGTTTATCTTTTTTTATCAACACGAGGGAAGATAATTAAAAAAAAAAACACTCACTTTGAACGATACAGACGTGACATGAACAACTCACACTTCTGAGGTGAGCTTTGGTGAACTTTAGAGGCAGTAAAAAGTCGATTTAGTCACAGTCTGCTCCATTCCGGAGGGCTCAGAGAGGATCCTCCGCCCGGCCAGAGGAAGCGTTCAAATAACACTTGTTCATTTGCAAGTACCGTTTGGACCGGGACAATGTCGCCTGATAGAAGAGGACTTTCCTTATTTGGGAATAACCTTTTCATTTATTCTGCTTAACGGCCCTTTATTCACAGCGCGAGCTCTCCCCGCGGTCCCGCGGACGCGTCCCCCGCTTTTACAAAAGACAACGTGTCCTCTCTCGCGTCCATAGCTACTTCCCCCCCCCCGTGTACTCTGTGGAGCAGCAGTTGGGGCTCTTTGGGCCTCTCAATTCTGCTGGTACCGGACGGGGAGGACACGGTCCAGTGAACTGCACGCAGCTGCGCGTGCATGTTGCATCAGCCGGCTCTCTCGTTCGCCTTCCTGCGACCACGTCCACTCCGCGTGTCCGCGTGGACTTCTGCAGGACGCGCGACGCAGAGCCGTAACCACGCTGTTGTTGCCCCCCCCATCACTCTTTATTTTCCTTTCATTGTATTGTCATTTTGTTTTTACACACACGAGTGGAGCCGCAACGTCTTACCTTATTTAAGGAACCCGCCAAACAGCTTCTGGCCTCTTTCGGTTTGCGCGACTCAACTTCCGGCCGCAGGAACACGCGTGTGCGTGTTTTCTGTGTGTAGTGGCGAGGGGGGCGGGGGTTCCACTAGCTGGTTCCACCCGAACATCAAACTAACATCAGCCGCCTATTGTTCCCCTTCGTCAGTACCACACGTCTCCCAGCAGATGGCGCTCTTCCCCAGCGGAAGGACCTTCATGAGACATTCCGCCTTTTAAGCATGTCTTCATTTTAGATTTAAGCTCCGTGAACTCTCAGGCACGTTCCTCCTCACTCAGTATGCTCTTAACAATCCCGATTTGCCCTCCCCGTCCCCCTGTAGGACGTATAGATCCACTTTGAAATGCTCCCTCACACTAACGTTACGGAGCATTTATGAGTGGCTGAACTGCTTTGACCTTATTGACCCCCCAGCGCGCTCTCAGGTCAGACTAAGTGTTCCGTCTATCCCACACACTCGCCTTAAGGCCCCAGGCGACCGAGCACTGCTGGTTCTATGAATTTGTTTTTTAAAAAATCAGCTTGAGACGAACCTGTTTCAACAGGCGTTTGGGTGAAATTCATGCTGTGCATTTTTTCTTCTTCTGTTATTTAATGTTTATTGCGCCTTTGTTTTAATAACTTTTCTAAGTTAGTGACCCTGGTATGCGCACATGTGTTTGTATCAAACATGCTATATAAAAACATATATTACACTTACCTCCTCTTTACATTACAAACTCACTCTTGTTATATAGCCCCCAACGTCCACACCAGGATTTGGGATTAATTTGGTGCAAGTGGATCCTTTCTGACTGTAAGAAAAGGAGCCCACACATGACCGAGCTCCTGGGAGGGAGAGATTCCTCCCCACAGCATCAGTAGGTTTTCCCCTGCTGCAAGCAGCCGCAGAGCTTGTTGAGATCAGTTGGATATTGCCGACTTCATGATTCCCTGCTTTGCTTTGACGACAACTACCACATGCATCAGCGCTTACTCGCACGTAATTGGTGGAGAAGTTGTTGTAGACGCTGCTTCATCTGACATTTCTAGATTTATGGTCGTCAGACCTCGGAGTCACTTTAAGGTGACGCAGAGGTACTGCAGTCCCGATGGGACTTGGAGAAGGAAGCACTTCACGAGAGGTACTTGTACGCTCCCCCCTCACCAGGAACTGCTGCATTTTGCTACCTTTAATAGTAGATTTCTGGTGAATCCTTTCCTCAGCTCTATGAACTTAGTTCAGGGTCCTGATGCAGTTTCTTCCCAACTCTGGTTCTCGGGAACTCTGGTAGATGTTTTTCATTCGAGCTGTTTAACGAGGACTGAATAGACACGAGATGCCAGGGGAACGCATTTAATTACCTCGCACAATAGGAAACAAAAGGCACTTTGGGCCCCGAAGATCTCCATTGGAACCAGTCGTGCCAAATATTTATTCTTCTAGTCTTCGTTGTGTAATTTCTTTTGGCATTGTAGATTTCTTTACGCTCGTATTGACTGAATTCATTTTTTAAAAACGTTTCACGATATCCACGTTGAGAATAGATTTATGTTTCATTAATAATGAGCAAGGAGATACATACCTTCTGATCTGAATCTAGATGTTGAGAAGTTTTGAGGTTTATGTGAATACCTTCAGATTTGTAACAAAAGCAGAATCCTCCTGCTTTTATTTTTTTTGTAAATCACGGGAGGCACAAAATGTGCCAACCCCCAAACATCCCCATCCCGACTACAAATATCTTGTATACTATGGGTTGTAATATGAGTTTTGAAAAACCTTTTAACCTTTTTTTTTAAACGTCTCACTAATTATCCAAAGAAAGGACGCTTTTGATTACATATGGATTGAAGTTGCGGAAGATAGTGTTTCACAATTTTATAAAAATACATCAAGCTTTTCAAACCGCATCAAGTAACCGTACTGTGGGCCTTCAGCCCAGCAGGAGCAATTGTTCCTGAAAACCACAGGCTACCCTTCTTCTTTCAACGATAAAGATAACCTTTTCTCCACTGTTCCACATATTCACAAGAGAAAATCATTTTTATGTTTAATCTGAACTTTATAGAGAGACTAGGGACAGTTCTAGTTCCTATTTATCGAACTCATAGAGCATGTAATTCACATCTGAAGGAAACAAATTAGATATTACATTTTGCAACACAATAATGGATAGTTGCAACATGTGTCACTAATAACGTTTTACCCTTTCCTTAATTAACTTATATGTTTTACCATATTTTGGTATTTTTTTTATTTGTACTAGATTAGTTGTATTTAATCTGGTCTTCTTGGGGCAATCCGTGTTACTGCTTACTCCTGTTACTTGTTAATTCTCCAACTGTAGCATGGAATGTGCTAATTTGATAACAGCTCTGATCATGTATTTATTAATGGAGACAACAAGGCTTTAAGTATTTTGAACATTTATCCTCAAACCTGACAAATTATCTTGGACTGGATTGAAAATATACATTTTTAAAAGGTAATGTATCTGCTGTTGGAGCACTCAACAATGATTCTGAAAGACAGACACAGAGCCTTCTTCTGCATTTAATCACATTTGCCTTAAAGTGTATTGCTTTATGCAATACTTTGACAACTAACACTAAATAGCCCGCCGGTTGTGACCTAACAAACTGTTCACTTATTAAACCTGCTAAAATGGAAAATTTTAGTCTGATGAGCTGGCGGCGAGCGGCTAGCAGTGCTAATAGCACTAACAAACAAACAAACAAACAATGGCAACAGTGCTTTGCTTCCACGACCGCAAAGTTGCCTGGTATTTATACTTGCATGCTGCCATATTTACTGATATCAGATTGTCACGTTAACGTCACATTTGTAATTGATTTAGTCGTTTTCTAGAAATAGGCCAGCGTGTACCTGGGAAGCTCAGGTGACAAAATATAAAATGATAGCAGGCATTTTGTATTAAAGACGCATCAGCCTGCACAAGTCAGGTAAGGATCTAACCGTGCAGTCACCTGGGTTGAGCTCTGAAAACACTTTCTTTGTGCATGTCAGAGCCCCAATTCTGACTTTGAAAATACTGCATTCTCCAAGACCCCCCCCCCCTTACCCTTCTCCTTCCACTGCATCTGTAGGCTTGTGAGTCCATAAGAAATACAAAAAGACAAACACAGAATACGGTCTGCGCTTTAACGGTTATTATAACATTTTTAGCGAGGCTACAGTGCATCAGACGTGTCCTGATTTGTCAAAGCAGTCAGTCTTGCAGCATCAGTGCAAGATCTAAAGACTGAAGCTTTCACGTCAGTTTTCTGCAACTGTTTGAGAACGTTGTGGATTTAACTAGTATGCAAGGGTGTTTGGTCTATCGTGATCAAATTTGCATGGTAATTGGATTGAATTGCATTGCATTGTACAAGCCATCCCCTGCTGTAGCACACACATACCCATCAAGTTACTAAGACTGGAGAGTTTAAGGGGTGGAGATTTATGTATTTTAGGCATTGGCCTAGTTGACAGCAAAGAGACTGAAAAGTTGCTGGAGACATGAGCTGCAGCTTCCAAACACCAAGTCGGTTGGCAGGAACTAGTTAACATCTTCTGAAGTTTTAAGATGAAAAAATGTGAAGAAAAAAAAGAAAATACAACCTCAAAAGGACCACAGCATTATTCTTTTCATAGTGCACCTGCTATTAAGATGATAAGAGGACGAAGCCGCACAAGTGACAATACCTAGGAAATGTAAATATAACTACTATGGCCTGATGAGTAGTCTTTCATCCCCCTTACATCAGGCTGAAGGAATTGCCATGAATAGTCCTGTAACAACATTTCACAGCTTCGCTGGTCACCAAATGGAAACTCAAACTATGTTCTAGGGTGCAGAGTGCAAAGCAGAGTCCAACTTTTGTCATCCCAAACTCTTCAAGGCTTTCCTTATTAAAGTCTGGTCCAGTGCTCTCCTACTCACACAAGCACCAAAGTGAGCGATGGCACAGAATCAGTAGTCAGATTGCATATGTAGTTCATCCACATTTTTCTTGTGGTCCGACAGGCACTAAATTATCATCATTAGTAATAATGAAATATGCATAAAAAAAGTTGCATCAGACATCAATTTTACTTATAAGAACAAACGCAGACAATTCATGTTGCCGGTGGTAAAACGACAACGACAACGGGTCAGTTGGGGGATGATTTAACGCTCCACATCAATCACCACCTTGTTGCTTGGAATGAATGCAGTCATCCACTCCGTGCTTTGAGGGGTGGAAAAAGGCGTCGCTGAGTGCAACACAAAGAGAAAAAAATGACATGTTCATGATACTTTTTGGCCAAACGAGAGGATGGTCTTGAATATAAATTAGTTTTATTCAGCTGCAGTGGCGGCAGATCAAAACCTGCCATATGCTACAATGCACAGCTTAAACGGCTGAGAATCTGTGTTAATGCAGTAGGTGTGGATCACAGAATAACAGTGTCGTTGGCAGTGAATCAAAGCATTAGCTTTTATCTGGGATGCGCAGGAATCTGCTCTTATTTCACTTACACCAGGATTGCCTCGATAGGACGTGCAGCAAATGCTGAAAGTTGTCCAATAGACATCCATTCAGATGGGAGACTTTTAGGCTGAAGACAGATCAATTATCACAGTTTGCAAAACATAATTTCAAAGGATGAATCGTCTGGTATGAAAGCCCAATTTAATGACACAGTGAGTTCAGCCGTCACAAAAACAGTCACCTATCACCCGTTTTAGTTCATCGATTACCTCCGTACGTATTATCTAATGGGAGGAACAGGAACAAGCGCTGCAGCTGTTCAATCATCAAGTTGAGACAAAAGTCACAAAAGTCTGAGCTAATTGGGGGGAGGCACATGTCATTCTGCGTGAATTTAGGCTCCGTCTGTTTTCTAGCGCATCCCAAAGGAGTGCTGCAGCTTCTAATCAACATGGTGCTCGTGAATCATGGTATCTTAAAGCAGTCTGGTGTGCGAGTCACACTCGTAAAACCCGCAGAAAATGGTGTTCATTATCAGTACCAATTTATTTCAGCACACTACGAAGGATTTTATGGAAACACATGACAAACTACTCTAATGGGATCTACTATTGAAGAAAACCACGCTTTGCTTTGAGTTAAGTGGAAGACAAAAAAAAATCCAAGTAATTCAGCAAAAGCGTAACTTGTGCATTATGCAACACAGCACGAACAATCCCAATTAGTTGATTTTATCACTTTGCTTTAGCTGCTAAATAACAGGAACATAAATAACCACACAACAGCTCCCAATAGCTGCATTAATTCAAACATTACAACACAACTGTTTTTGATACCCATTAAAAGTATAATAATTCAAAGCAGCTTATTACTTTGTGCAAATTGCAGTATTTTTATACGTACACACTCCCAAAATGCAAATGATGAAAGACGAATCACCAGCGATTAAATACCTGGATGGACTTCAATGTAAATTATGATACTGTTAATCTCCTTGCGTCTTTGACACTGTCATTTAATCCGTATTTAATTAGAAAATAATTAAAGTTTAACGGTTTATCAACATGTATAATACTCTGAAATGTTTTAATTTTCTCTGAGCTTTTATCATGTTGGAATGCTTAATGAATCGCTTTCCTCTGTCGCAGTCGCCGGTCATGTGTTTCAGATGGCACGCCAAATTCATCAGAGCCTATAAATGGCTGCTGGCTGGTGGTGGAAGGACTCGGCAGGGTTTTATGTTCTAGCATCTAGCTGCTGGTTGGGTTGGACGCTTCCCAAACGGACCGATCTGTACTAAATGGGGTTACATGTGCATCTACGGTTGCAGATGGAGTTTGAAAGCCAAAAAGTTCACAATGGCCCCCCCCCCCCCCCCCCATCCTCATTTAGAAAAGAAAAAAGAAAAAAGACTGGTTTGAGTGGTGCGCAAGGTTGGCGCTTTAAGATGAAGGTGATTGCTAACACTCAGTTTGAGGCTGGAATCCATTCTCGATGCTGGTCTCTGTGGAGACAATCATCCTCTAATAACAGTAATCTCTCTCCTCGTTGGCCAGGACAATAGCGGTTCTGCAGGGGATGTAGACCTGAGAGAGAAAGAGAGACAAAGGGAGGGAAGCAAGTAGGGAGAAAAGTGAGTTGACAATTGAAGATTAATGATGTCAACAAGATCACCAATTTTGTAACTTATTGAATCTTCACGTTTATCCTTCTTTAGAAGTCAGATGGTGGTGCCTTGGCAACCAGGCCTGATTGCTTCTCACAATCAAGGTCGACACGACGGCCCAAAATGAAGGCAAGGCGAAAAAAGCGGGGAAACTGTGAAGGGGATGGGGCTTTTATTTAGAAGGATATACAGATGTGAGCAGACGGTAGAGAAACACCACAGCCAGTGTCTGAAATGGATTACCAAGGTCATGAAAGTATAAATCAAAGTGGGACAAAGTCCCAGCTCCGTCAACACCTCAGGGTGGCGCTGCAGTCAGCGGGTCAGTAGCTTCAAGTTGTGTGTTCAAGCTGGTTCTATGGAGTTTCAATTTCATCGTTGAAATGTGGAGGCGTAGTTGGTGCTGCAAAGGGCCCTTAATCTGTCTTAAATTCATTAACATTTCATCACGTTCAAAGCTTGTGCTTTCAAGTCAACAAACCCCAAATGAGCAACCCGTGTGGAGCCAAATAGTAATTATTTTTCAATTCTTAACTCTCTAATTAGATGCAATTACTTTGTGTTTCGTCCTCTCTATACGTTGGCTGAGCATCAACTGTAAAACTAGAAGTCCTGTGAAGATGCAATCTGCCAGCGGCCATAAACTGAGCTGTGAGCATCTCCCGGGTTTCGGTGGACTGAAGAAACAAAATGTCAGCAAAAACTAAGCACACAGCGGGAAAAAAAAAAAAAGAGAGAGAAGGAACCGAGCCTGGAAACGTCAGATCCCATATATTCACTTTATTAGTTACACCTCTCCAAAATAACACCCCTACTAAGATTTCTTTTTACAGTGGGTGTGTTTATATATGTGTATATATATATGTGTGTATATATATATATATATATAAAATAAATCTTCGTAAGGGTGTTATTCTGGAGAGGTGTAGCTGATAAAGTCTTTGATCAATCCTTTTGATATTCAGTGTTGTTTGGAGGCAAGGAGACACTGTGTACCATTAGTCATTTCAGATTCATGCCAAAAGGAAAAGCCAAGCAGACATAAATGATGCTACATTTCCCAACAGAAAACTGAAAAAGAGCGGAGAACTGTAAACAATTCAATCACCCCCTGAACTGTTCAAGCCGCCCCTCGGTGGATGCGAGCTCGCCGCCGATGTGTTTCTTTGGCAACAGTTTGTCACCGAGGGAGTCGAGCAGCTCGGCGCAGAAAACACTCACACAGACATTGGTGACTAATTAAACAGTCACAGTGGGAGCGTCTCCATGCAGGCGCACCGCAGAGAAAGGGGAAGCCAGAATAAATCATTGCACCTGTTTAGACAAAAGCCACCACGGCGCCGAACCCGGGGTGCGTCAACAGCTTTGACTTCCGCCGAATAGATACAAATAGTGACACATTCCAAAAATTGATCTGTGAACAAAGAGCAGCAGATAGTTCCACTGCAATTAGCGAAATGAATTCTAATGAACATGTTGCTCTCTAAGATATAAATGTGTTACGTTGTACAGCTTGTAGATGACCAGTTACCCGTTGCCATTCATGATTTCAATTAGACGCATTGACGTGATATTATGAAATCTCGAGTTGAGCTAAAAAAAATTGTGCATAATTCTGAACAAGCTTTAACAATGACTTTGAACATTTTAGCCAATGTTGTACGACATATTTCAGCTAACCATTTACAAAATGTTCTACTGTGTCTTAAAAATGTTGTGGATTAGAATTAGCATTATTCAATCAATTTGTTTGTTTCCGTAAAATATTAAAAACGGTTTTCTGCACCTTGAAATTTAAATAAAGCAGGAGAATGAATAATTTTCTTGTAGGTGCCGTATTGTCTTTGTGGTAATGCAATTTAAAGCAATAAATGCTTGACCACCCCAAAGTAATACGAAACCTCCACAAAGAGACGCAGAATGACCACAAAACGACACGGAACAACCACAGATATACACAAAAGGACCACAAAAAGACCACTACCACAAAGTGAAACAATACGACAGAAAAACAGAACAAACCAGAATGGCAAAAAAAGAAGAAGAAGCTGTCAGTGCAAAGAATTCACATTCCTGGTGAACTTGCAGTGTGATGTTATTCAGCTCACACATCCAGTCACCCAGTGTTAATCAGTGTAGCACACATTCTGCTGCCAACGTTTTGTAGAAGGTAATACACAACAAGCAACCCCCGTCTTCAAGCCTCTGACTGGATTTGTCTGAATATTTCCATAAAGCCTCTTCTGCTTTCTGATGACTCATTTGGAGTAGGCGGCTATCGCTTCATCGGCCGACTCTCACGAACCACGTTTGAGATCCAACAGCAGCAGCAGTTACTTACAGTGACCACATACAACAGCAGCTCCTGTTCAACAGAACCTTTATAAATACGGCAATTTGTAAGTGTTAGAATCAGTGCTGCAAAAACACGAGAATAAGAGAAAGTCGAGCCAATGTAAGTACAAGTACTGAATTAATAGAAGGTCGGAAAAGGCTGTTTGCTTTAGAACGCATATTTTTGTATCGCTCTCGTGTGAAATTATGGATTTTCGTCTCACTTTGTGAGACGAGTCCAGCCTTTGGGCTGATGATCAATGTTAAAGCACGCCGATAAAGGATTCATGAAGTGCTTCTCAGAAATATATCATCCACCACGTCTCTGCATGCGGATCCAGGCTGCTGGAGAAAGCACAACCGTAGTATCTGAGGAATGTTAGGATGTATTGGTCACTTTATACGCAGCACCACACTCACTGATCAACATCGCATTTACCATCAACAAATCGCCACGCATTAAGCGCCTTTAAAATAGAGAATGATAACTTTTTTTGAGCCAATACCGACCACCTTTTAAATTGTGTTTTTATTACCAGACACAAAATAGATGAATGACAAAATATCACGACTAATGAAAGCGCGGCCTGGTCGGTTTCACATTCTGTAAACGTATCATCACAATGACAGTACCTGTGTAAAGGGCATATGTGCGTGTTGCATACAGTACAACAGAGGATTCAGTAGGACTGCACATCTGTATCTGCAGGCAAAGTTTTATTCTTTGAGGTCACACTTCAACAACAGGCCTTAGATGCTTCTGATGGAAATTTACATCTTTTGATGATTTGCTAAGAGCCTGCAACGTTTCCCTCATTTTCCTTTTCTCCCTCACTTAATTTCTTTTTGTGAAACTGTCAGACGAGACGAGCCCTTTGATGCATGCAAAGTTGATCAAAAGCTTCTGAAGCGCCTGATTATTCATCAGAGTTTCTTAGCGTTATGTCTGACATTATAACGATCAGACAAAAGCCGAAATGTGACATGAACCAGAAGAGGTTAAACCGTGAACCCATTTTCACACAGAGTTGTTGTCCCTGACTATACGAGAAGGGTTTGTGTAGCTAAAACAAATACATTGTAATCATTCAATTGCAGTAGTCCTTGAAGTGTGAGATTCTCATAAAACGCCCTGCTGACTATATCAAGCTGTCAGTTCCCTCAGATGAAGGCTGAAAGTTTTAATTCACATTGAGACTCGAGCATATTTGTTAGCTTTTTTTTTCCATTCAGCTTCAGGGTGAGCTATTAAATTCATACAACAATTAATGAAAGGAAACAACTAATCTTTATATCAGTCCTAACTTAATTAACACACTAACTTAACTGAAGACTTATGAATGATTGTTGGATTTTGAAACTCGGAAATCCAAATAGATTTATTTTTTCGTAGCCTTGGAACAGACGCAGCATGAAGTCCAATTCGGTGGAAGAAAACGTTGATATCCATTATTTCACCTGCTATCAGAGAGCATTCGGCTCGGCTGTGGAACCTGTTAACCGTCTGTCACCCCCAACCGCCTCCATTTTGTTCTTGTTTGTCGTTTTTGAGGAGGTGCAGGATCTCCTTCTCTTCATTGATTTGTTCCGTGTACGGAAGAGTGTCACGAGTGAAAGAGCTAAAGCCATATTACCCAACAGCAACAACAACAACAGACGAGGAGCACGTTTGTAAACACAGGGCGTTCCCGTTATATGATGTTCGCCGCAGCCCGCCGGGCCACCTGCATGCTGTCGACTCTGCGGGCTTCATCTAATTACGTGCATCCTCGGTTTGAAGAGATACAGCGGTTTACTATCGCTCAGTCGGACCCATTAAAAAATAAAATACTTTTTGCGCGGACTTTGAAAGCAGCCGTTGTTAAATAAAACATGGCCGACGTGGGCTCCTTTCGGAGCTCCCGCGGAGCCCCTTATCTGGTTGTTCCTGTCATAAGCAGGTAGGTGTGAGGAGGAGGAGGAGGTGGAGAAGAAAAAGGCGCGTCCTTATGCAAGACCACGGTCTCCCTGTGCAATCTCTCCGAGGGGGCCTGTAAAGGAGTTACAGTGTGTGCAGGAGGGGGCCCACCCTGTCGGCCTCGGCCCGCTCACTCTTTCATTCCCCCTTTAATCCATGATTGTGCAAACATTAGCAGACGACTCGTTAACTGAACTTCACAATTTGGCCAAGAGGGACGTGGCTAAAGCAGTGGAGTTTGAAGTAATAAGAGATTTAAGCGAATGTGGAATTTGAGTCCCCATCTGGCAAAACCTGAACGGTCTGCATGAGGGAGTGAGAGGCTTTTAAAAGGTTAAATAATGTTGAAATGATGCTCTAAATGGCACTGTGAGTTTTTCCAAACACATCTTTGGTTCATTAAAGTGCTTCATCCAACTCTTATATACACATGGAGCAAATTCTCAGTTCATTACGTGCAACGCTTTCCGTATTGATCCGAGGGGAGTCAAGTTGAGTTCAGATAAACAAGCACCTTATGGGGTGATATGTCATCTCTGGTACCAGCTGAAGTGCACTGCCTGGAGATATTTCATATTTGACTGAAACTGAAAAACCACAGCGCGAGACGATGACTGTGCAGACCACTT